TTGGTTTCCAACTTCACCTGCAAAGTCTTTGACAGATATTTGGTGTATAGGGAACATAAGTGGAACTGCAATATATTTGGCAGCTAAAGCATTTGAAATATCTGGGTCCAACATATAGACTGCAAGTCTGCTTTCTATTCTCTGCATTCAAATTTTTTCGCATGTGAACTTAACTGGTCCCAAGCAGTTCCAGCAGCATTGAAATAATAGTTTACTTCAGTGTTGAGGTTTGAGAAACAAAGTCTAAGTCAACTTTGTCTTTGCAAAAGTCACAGAACTTGGCTCCACCAGTTCCAGCTACAGCAATGCTGAATGGGTCTTGTGTTGGTGCAATGACTAAGTTATTTTTGCTTGGAGTAAGTTCGATAGAAATTTTTCCTGCCCAGTTTGGCAAGTATCTTAAAAACCTGAAGATGAGGAAAGATGACAAAGGAACTCTAAGTTTCAATTTTACTTTGGTTACTGCTGCTGCAGTTTGTCCAGAAAGGGTCAACATAAACTCCTGGAACGTTAGGGTCAAGTCTTCTTATTTTCTCAATAGTTGCATATTGGTCTGTTTGTTCTTAGCTTGTGGTTGTACTGAGTTTCTCAAAGCGAACCATTCATAGTTTGCCCATGTTACTGTTTGAACTAAGTCAGAGTTAGAATATATCTTATATCCCATGAAAACTTCTGGAGCATATTGGTATCCGACATAGAAAATTCCATTGCAACCTTTCTTGTCAGACAACTTGGCAGAAGGTTTTATTTCAATGTTCTTGTTCCACGTATAAGAATGAGTTGTCAATAGAAATTATATGAACCTGTCGCAAGCAATATCTACTGTGTGTTGAAGACCTTCTCCAAACTCACCTACATTTCCATAAGAAACAGCAGTTGTATATTCGTAAGTTCCAGGAACTATTTCTGACCTTCTAATGGCATTGTCGCATTCGTTATACCATTCGGAAACATTTCCGTTCATGGCATCCAAAACTGTTGGCGTTATATTCTGAGCGGCGTACATTTCATATGGGTAAAATATAGAATAGTTTGGATTTATGTGTCATAATAGAACCACGTGGACCAAGCTTTACTTTCTTCCTGGCTGAGTTTTTAACTCTTCTTTTTCCTTCATTGCCACTACTTTCACTAGATGAAGTTACTTCTTCACTACTTTCACTTTGTTCTACTCTTCTCTTCTTCTTTGGTGTCGCTTTTGGTAACTTGCCCTCTGCTTCAAGTTGTTGCATCTTTACCTCATGTTCACCTAGTATGTTGTAAATTTCCATGTCCTTTTTGCCTTTGGGCTCTGGTCGCCCATCTCAGGTAACCTATTCCTAGAAAGAGTTTGTCATAGTTTGTATTTGAGTCTTCGCGTATTGTTTGCATGACTCTTTCCTGAGTTTCCGGTTCAAGCTCTTCAAAACAGTGCCTGTCCATATGGAATAAGCTCGTTTCCAATATATGTTTTTGTAGCCATTCTGGTTTTCTTTCCATGTTACCAACTATATCTTTTGTGAATGGGAAAGCTTTTACCCAATCTTTCAGTCTTGCGTCGTTTATTTCTGTAGTTGGTTTTATTTTGTCAAGGAACATGTTTTTCAATACTAACATTTCATTTGGTACTGTCCATTTGAGTTTTCTTAAATATTCATCCCTTCTCAGTTCATCGTCTGCAAAGTAAGTTTTTTGACATTTTGTAAACTTTCGTTTGCAAGGTCATGTACAATAGGTTCTCTTCCTTCTCTCTCCCTAACTTTCTTTCTAAACTCTTCACCAAATATACCATCTCTATTCTGTGTAGTTCTTTGAGATAAATGTTCTAGAACGTCAGGTGTTATATTTCCATCAGCCATGTTCATTTCATACTGGTCCAAAATATCTGCATGTTTCATATCTTTCAATGGCATTAAAGCCGCGCTTAAAATACCAGCTATATCTCGTTCACCATTCAATTCCATTGCGTCTACAACTTCTTGGAATTGTGGTTGTAAGTTTATGAACCACCTATCCGGGTTAGCTTTATGACCCCATCTCATTGTAGTTCCATCGTCTGCAGAAACAAAAGTAGGTTTGTTTCCATCTTGGCTAGGTTCTGAATGAACTTTAAACAATGTTTCATTTCTATATGTTTTCTTGAAATTTAACCTTTTATCTTCACCGAGTTCATCCGAAGATTGAACGTTAAATGCTCGTAAGTAAAAAGGGTTGTTGTATTTGCTTACATTTTCTTTCAGTACTTCCATTCTATGCTGAATATTTTCATCTGGTGTTGGAGTCTTTTGTATGTCGGCAAACATTTTTCGATATTCTTCTACTATGTCAGCCGAATTTTTTTTAGACTCTTGGAAATATTCCATATTCTCCGCATACTCTTGTTGAGGGTCAAGATTTTTCGGCTGTTCCAAATCTTCATCTAGTTCTGTGAAGTTAGTTTCCAAAGGAGTGACTTGTTCGTTTCCTTCAGGCTCTTCTAGCTGTTGTTGCTGAACTATTTCTTCCATGTCTGGTTGTATCTGAACTATTTTATCCTGTGGAGTTTCTTGTACCTCATCTGCTGGCATTTCATATATTCCGAGACCGTTTTTAACAACTTCCCTTTCTAAGTCATCCGGACTCAAAAACCTTTCTTCTTTCGTTCCGTCTCTATTTTTTACGCGTTTCATGACGGGAGTTGAATTGTCATTTAGCTCTGACATCAAATATCTCGGAGTAAATTCAGTCATGTCATTTGGATGATATGCTATTAAATCATATCCCTTAGCGAGCTTGTATTTTCCAGGTTTGAAATTATATCCGATTTGGTGCTGAACCATAAAGCTAAATAGGTTCGGGTCAGTATTTCCATCCTTGAACTTTCTAATAGCTTCTTTATATCTGTCACTAAAGTCAATACTATCTGGGTAACCATAGTCTTCTTTAAGCATTTTTAAGAAATCTTGGTTTCCTTGTTCTCTACTTCTTTTATGTCCTTGCTCTGTTTGTGGTTGTTGTTGTGCAGGGTTTTGAACTGTTGGTTGCTGTGCTGGTTGTGGTTGTTGTTGTGCAGGGTTTTGAACTGTTGGTTGCTGTGCTGGTTGTGGAGGTGGTTGTTGTGCTGGTTGTGGAGGTGGTTGTTGTGTTGGTTTTGGTGCATGCCTGTGTCTGTGTCCATGTGACGATGTAAATGTTCTAGGTAGTCCTGGTGCAGGTGCTTCTCTTGGAGGGTTTGGTGGTATATAAATTCCACCAGCTGGCACATATGTTCCACTAGCTGGTATATAAGTTCCACCAGCTGGCACATATGTTCCATCTGCAGCGTAATGTCCTACCTGACTTTTCGTTTTTAAGAAAGCATTTACTAGGTCTGTTTTGGTCTGTTGTAACTCTTTTTCTTGACTTTTCACAACAGTTGCTCTAACGGCGTCATAGGCACTTTGAACTGCCTGTCTCGTTGCTGCATCTGTTATTTTCGTCATATTTTGTGCTACTTCTCTTAACTCTTTGTCGAAACCTTCAGACTTCAGTTTCTTTCCAGATGAGAAGTCGTTCACTTGTTTCACCTTACTATGAAGAGCTTCGAAGGCGTTCTTAAAGTCAGCATTCGTTAAAGCTTCATTTGAACTGTCTTCATCCGCTTGTATTTTTGTCCTTATTGACCCTATAAGCTGGGCTGCTTTAGCGTTGGCTTGGGCATCTAACCAGTCATTGTTAGCTTTTATATATTCTGAGCTTTTCATTGCCTTTTGCATAGCCGCGTCGTTATTTTTACTTTCTTGTGCTAAGTTTTCATACTGTACGGTTTGGTTTTGCAACTGTAAAAGTTTTTCTGCCTTTACATTTGCTTCAACTTCTTTTTTATACTCATCGCTATCCATATATGTCTTCAGGGCTTTTTGTTTTATCTCTTCATCTTTCAGTACTTTATATTGAGTAGTATGGTTTTTCAAATTTATGACATCTTGTTCCATTTTTGCTACTTATGCTGCTTTTTCTGACACTTTTTTCGCATATTCCTCTGTACTTAGTTCTTTCAGTTGTTCTTCTTTCTTCTTTTTCTCTACGTTTAACTCATTGAGTTTCTTTGTGTGTCTGTCATATTCTAGTTTCTTTTCGTTTTCACTTATTTGCTTCTGTATGTCTATGTTTGACTTTTTGACATCTGTTATTTGATTTTTGAGTGAACTCAAATTCATTTGACTTTGAGGGTTATAAGCTGTTCCGTCTGCAGCTCCACCATAGCCTGCCATTTTCGCTAAAAGTGCCGCTCTTAAACCTCCACTCTGTGCACCAACAACTCGGTTTAAAAGCATAGGATTGCTTGACATTTGTTGCAACATAGTGGGGTCATTCAGCATTTGTTGTTGCAACTGTTGTTGTGGTGTCAGTCTTACTATTGGATGTTTCAATGCTCTCTTCCTCTTACGTATATTCTTACGTATCTTACGTGGCATTTTAAGTGAAGTTAAAAAGCGGTTTTATACTAAACATCTTCGGGGCTAGAGGGCACGAAGTGCCTGGAAGCCCCAATGCCTTTTTTTTTTTTTTTATATAAATGCAAGTAAATGAGTAACCTTTAGATGATAGAGCACTATCAGAAAAAAAATCTATTAGAATGAAATAGTTATTGTCGTCTGAAGTTATAGTATCTCTGGCCAGAAAAAAAAACCTCTCCATATATATTGTGTGTTTATAGGGTATATGCATAGATGGCAATGATGTTCTTCATATATTTAGATCCCAAAACATACTTTTTATATCACTTTTATGTTTGACAATGATACTTTTATCACTTTTATAGACGACAAAAAAGATCATTTTCGCTTGGTTTATATTTTAAATAAGATAAAATCAAGTTAAGAAATGCCTTAAATGCAACAAGAGCTTAAAAGTTAAAAATCTTGAAAATAAATTAAAAATTTATTTTTATTGAGTGGTTTGAGATAATCTCAAATTTTTCGAACTCAATAAAAATAAATTTGAATTTGTATAAATTTTAATTTAAATCATCCAAATTTCAATATATATATATGGTCAAGTTACTTGGCCCCGTTCTTCTTTAGGTATTTTTTTACTGCGCCTTTTGCAACATTGAGTGCAGTTTTCCCTTCTTTATTCTTTGCTTCTTTATCAGCTCCAACAAAGATAAGATATTTAACAATTTCAAGATGATCATTTTCTGATGCACGAATGAGTGCAGTATATCCTTGATTATCCTTTGCTTCTTTATCAGCATCAACTGAGATAAGATATTTAACAACTTCAAGATGACCATTTTCTGATGCACGAATGAGTGCAGTATATCCTTGATTATCCTTTGCTTCTTTATCAGCTCCATTAGAGATAAGATATTTAACAACTTCAAATTGATCGTTATCTGATGCAAAAATGAGTGGAGTCCATCCAAGATTATCCTTTGCTTCTTTATCAGCTCCATTAGAGATAAGATATTTAACAACTTCAAGATGACCATTAATTGATGCAAAAATGAGTGGAGTATTTCCAAAATTATTCTTTGCTTCTTTATCAGCTCCAACAGAGATAAGATATTTAACAACTTCATGATGACCATTAAATGATGCACAAATGAGTGGAGTATATTCAAAATTATCCTTTGCTTCTTTATTAGCTCCAACAGAGATAAGATATTCAACAACTTCAAGTTGGCCATATCTTGATGCTAAAATGAGTGGAGTATATCCAGATTCATTCTTTACTTCTTTATTGAAATTACATTCAATGAGTGATTTGACAAGTTCGAGATGTCCTCTCATGCATGCTTCATGAAGCACATTATCATCACCAAACTTTGCCTTCTTTTCCCAAAGTCCTTCTTCACAGGCTTTTTGAATCATTTCTTGATTTCCTTTTATAGAAAGTTCCCAAAAGAATTGGTAAACTTGTTCAAAATCTCTAGATTTCTTAAGTTTTGCGATTTTAGTTAAAAATTCTCTTGAGAAATTGTTATTTTCATGAGTTCTATTGACTTCTGTTTCTTTGGCCGTACTTTGCCTTTGTTTTTGAATTTCTTCTAATTTTTCTTGATGTTTTTGGATTTCTGCTCTTGAATCAAGTGTGTCTTTCTCTTTTCTATCTAAAATGTCAATAATATCATCGAATATTTTGAATTTCATGTATTTTTTGATAGATTTCAGTATTGAAACAATTTCTTCCATGTTTTGGATAGTAACATGCGCTTTTCGTGTGCAGGTATATAATTTCTTGGAATTAATAGTTGTATGAGATTGTTTGAGAAGAGTAATGTACTGGTCTGCTGTTAATTTTGAATATTTCATGGTTTTTCTGATATCTTCTACGTCAAATGTATCAAAGAAGCTTTCATTTTTAATATAATCGCTTATATGAGCAGCAATGTATTCGTAATTCAGATTCATGTCCTGAATTAAAAAAATGTGATTTTTTCTTAAAAAAATGAGCATAATTTGGAGCTTAGTTATGAGAAATGTTTTATGTAAGTATATTATTTTCAAAATTCGTTGTCATTTGATCTAATGAATTAAATTCTCCAACAATTAATGAAAATATACTAGAGTTAGAAACTGATGGTTGTTGAAGTCTTCCATTTTTTAAAAATATTTGGGAAGTTAAATATTCTCTTGTTTATCATTGAGGAGTGAGTGGGCAAAAAGTGAAGTACGATAATTAATTTAAAAAGGGAGAAACTTCCTCGAGGATATTCAAAAAAAATCCATTCATTTTATGTCCGATTTAATTTTCTCATGTTCAACTAACAATCCTAAATTCCTTGCATAAGCATTATAGCTGTTGCGTGGAAAGACCAAGAAGACCAATTATGTTCAGCAAGTGTTTCTAACGATGGAATTTTGATATTAACTGAAGATTCTACAACAATACAAGCAAGTGTTCTTCTTAGAGCTGGTTTATTCCAAAATTATTCCCTTGTCTGAGAAGAAAACTTCGAATTTAGAATCAATTTAACAAAATTTGTTAAATGTATAAAACTATTTTCAGAATTTGCTACAGAACTCGAAATTAGGTCGAAGAATGATGCTGAAATACAAGTTGAAATCACAGATGGTCTTTCAACAACAAATTGTACGATTAGAACTCTTTACTACCCTACTGCACAAGTCAATAACATGACACTATCCAAAGCCTTCTCGGCGCCCGACTCTGTTGAAGTTGCTTCGTATATGATTCGATCATCAATTGTCAAAGAGATGCTTGTACTTCCTGATGCAACGACTAAGAATACTGTTCCAATAAAGATGGTCATAGATGCTGTTGCCCAGCTTTTCGATGTCAAAATGGAAGGAGGCTTCGGAACAGTCAGATCTACAATGGAATTCGGCCTTCTCATGGCCCAAAGACCGAAATTCGATCTCTGTGAACCATTTGAAGCATGTTACCCTATATCCTCGCTTGTTCCTGTCTTGAAAGCAATGACTTTATCCTCTGAAACGAGTTTCAGGTTTAAAGGCAACGGAATGCTCTCAATTCAACAACCTATATCTAACCAGTCTGCAGGATCCGTCGAAACTGTCGTCGAATTCATATTGCAACCTCTTGAAGATAATACTCTTTAATTTATTGTTTGTCAGCTTATATCGGCGGGCAGCACAGCTGCGCGCCGATAGGATTCGCTCTATATAAGACTAAAAATATTTTTTTCGTTGTCTTTAAGGCTGCACCCGTATGTACGTTTATTTGAGAGGAGGAGGATTACCCTCTCAATTTTGAGGGATTCGTTAGTTTATTTTCTCGATGAATATGCAATAAAATTTGATTTTTACCTTATCAATATACTTCATATAATATACACATGTTCATGTAAAAACTTTTTTCCAAAATCCTCAGGAATTAAGGGATTTTTGAATTTTAAGAATTTTTTTCGAATTTTTTCGAAAAAAAAAATATTTTCAGAACAGCCTTAACGGCTAAGATTTAGGAACAATGTTAAGTATCAAAAAGAAAGGAGGTCTGATATAGACAACATATATCGTTGAAGGTTGAAAAAATCTCTAATATTTGAGCCCAAAATTTCAAATTTTAATTTTTTGAAAAAAGAGGCCACCCGTATGTACGTTTATTTGAGAGGAGGATTATATTTTTGAAAGGGTGAAACATTATGAATATGTTAATTATATAATAATATGTATTATTATAAAAAAGAAAAAATAAAGCACGTTAAAATTTTCTTTCTTGATTTTTTACAAAATCTACTTAGAATTATGCAAAATATGACTAAATAATTATAAATTTCAAGTTAAATTTTAATTTTGATAAATAATTTAAATTTCAAAATATCAAGTTCAGTTCGACTATGTATGTAGTAATTCCTCAATAAAGTGCCAAAACCCTATTAAAATATATGAACATTTTCAACATTTTAATGTTTTTATTTAAAAATTTGATGGAATATGAGCTTCAAACAATTATTATGTAAATAAAGATAATTAAATATATGTATTTATTCGTATTACAACCGTAGTAAGTCGATTCTTCCTTTCTTCTACTGAGGTTTGAATTTGATTTCGAATTGTAAAGAGATTCAAAGGGAAAATACTAGCGGATAAAAACTACCTCCATGAAAGGGTCATAATTGAGTCAAGTTGTATTTTTTGATATTTTTTGCTTTTCGAGCCTAAATAGGTAGCCAAGATAATGCCTAAAAATAAGGTTCTAAATTCTGAAGTTTACATGATCCTCTCGTGTGCACCCTTAATTAAATCAAATTAGCTATCTAAATTTCATATTTTCGTGACCTAATTTTGACCATTTTCGGTTGCAATTTTTAATCGTTTTTAAAATAATAGCATATCTCAAATTGAGTTATATTATACTGTGGATTTACCCATTTAAATCTCCGAAAATTCAATGATCTATTAATTTCAAAATAAATCATGTGCAAAATTCGATTCTAAGCATTTTATTTTGTTTATAATCATATGAGATATCATAAACAATTATAAAATATGTAAGAATCTTATTAATATTCGAAATGCTGGACTGTTTGTTGATATATTACCAAACGATACTAACATTAAGTCTTGTTGACTCCATTGCTTCCTAAATATTGAAATGAATCATGGATTTGAGCATATTAGAATTGACAATATTTTTCATTGTTGATATATGAACAAACGATACTAACGATAAATCTTACTGATTCCGTTGCTTCCTAAATAATGAAATGAATCATAAATTTGAGCAAATTAAAATTGAAAAATTTCGTAACTTATGAAGCTGCAAAGCAATTACACCACAAGATAATAGTGTACAGCATTTTAATCGATCTCTTTCGTAATATTTTACTTCTTAAATTTTTTTAATGTCTGATCAAGACAGTAATCCGAACAAATACAGTAAACTGCGAAGTATCTACAAATACTACATTGATTCATACGATGCATTGTATCAGTTGAAAACGGAAAAAGAAGAAGATTTAAACTCGATTTACAAAATGATCAAAACGAATTTGATTGATTCAAAGAAATGTCTTCCCCAAATTATAATAAAAGATATTTTGGATATCATTCCGTATAATAATCGCTATACAAAGTCATATTTATATCTTGCCAAACTCGTATCAGATGATTATCAAATCAAAGAGGTCGACAATGTTGAACTTGTTTCAAACTTTTTGTTTTACAAAGAATATGACATTAAATTAGACAAGTCTGCTAATTTCGAAAAAAATGATTTAGAAAATCTCGACCTTCTTAAAGAAAATACAATTTACAGAGCAATTATGAATAATGACTTAGAAGTATTCATTTCATTCACTGAAAGGGAAGAATTTGATGAAAATCAAAAACTTAGAAGTAGTTTATATCCATATTTTTACTATGGATACTACTTACTTGAATTATGTTGCTATCATGGAGCAGTTGATTGTTTCAAGTTCTTAATAACTAAATTTAACTCGGAGATAACAAAAAGATGTCTCAGATTTTCATTTTTGGGAAGAAATCAAGAGATAATGAGTGAATGTTTGAAACAACAAGAACCAGATAAAGAATGCATGAAATATGCAATTATTTCACATAACATTGATTTTGTAACCTTCTTAGTGAATGAGTACATCATGAGTATCGACTTATCTGCTTGCAAAAAATATAATAATCTTGATTCATTTTTAGTTTTTTACGATCAAACTAATCTTTTAATCAGCTGCTTGATTTTTTCAACGATGTTTAATATTCCATCCCTTTGCGAATATTTCCTTTCATTAGGTGTAGATATCAATAAAAACTTTTAGATGGAGATGAAAAAGATAAATATGGGAAAACTGCTCTTCATATTGCAGCAGAATATAACAATAAAGAAATAGTCAAACTTCTTATTTCACATGGTGCAAATATCAATAAAAAAGATAAAGATCGAGAAACAGCTCTTCATAAAGCAGCATGGAAAAATAGTAAAGAAACAGCTGAACTTCTTATTTCACATGGTGCAAATATCAATAAAAAAGATAAAAATGGAGAAACCGCTCTTCATAAAGCAGTATTGCATAATAATAAAGAAATAGCTGAACTTCTTATTTCACATGGTATAAATATCAATGAAAAAGATAAAAATGAAAAAACAGCTCTTCATAAAGCAACATGGAAAAATAGTAAAGAAATAGCTGAACTTCTTATTTCACATGGTATAAATATCAATGAAAAAGATAAATATGGAGAAACCGCTCTTCATTATGCAGCACGTGAGAATAGTAAAGAAACTGCTGAAGTTCTTATTTCACATGGTGCAAATATCAATAAAAAAGATAAAGATCGAGAAACAGCTCTTCATAAAGCAGCATGGAAAAATAGTAAAGAAACAGCTGAACTTCTTATTTCACATGGTGCAAATATCAATGAAAAAGATAAAAATGGAGAAACCGCTCTTCATAAAGCAGCATTGCATAATAATAAAGAAATAGCTGAACTTCTTATTTCACATGGTGCAAATATCAATAAAAAAGATAAAAATGGAGAAACCGCTCTTCATAAAGCAGTATTGCATAATAATAAAGAAATAGCTGAACTTCTTATTTCACATGGTGCAAATATCAATAAAAAAGATAAAAATGGAGAAACCGCTCTTCATAAAGCAGTATTGCATAATAATAAAGAAATAGCTGAACTTCTTATTTCACATGGTATAAATATCAATGAAAAAGATAAAAATGAAAAAACAGCTCTTCATAAAGCAACATGGAAAAATAGTAAAGAAATAGCTGAACTTCTTATTTCACATGGTATAAATATCAATGAAAAAGATAAATATGGAGAAACCGCTCTTCATTATGCAGCACGTGAGAATAGTAAAGAAACTGCTGAAGTTCTTATTTCACATGGTATAAATATCAATGAAAAAGATAAAGATCGAGAAACAGCTCTTCATAAAGCAGCATGGAAAAATAGTAAAGAAACAGCTGAACTTCTTATTTCACATGGTGCAAATATCAATGAAAAAGATAAATATGGAGAAACCGCTCTTCATAATGCAACCTTAAATAATAGTGAAAAAACAGCTGAACTTCTTATTTCGCATGGTGCAAAAAACTAATGTTTTAACATTAAATTATAATTTTATAAATATTTCCAAATATGAATATCAATTAAAAAGATAATATTGGAAAAATCACTCTTCATTATTAAACATTCGTAAAGCACTATCAGTTAATGAATACCCAATTTATTTACAATTCTATTCGTTCTTCGTATTTTTACAAAAAAAAACTTCTAAATTATTGTAGTAAAATCTTCTCATTTATTTTCCAGGGTTAGCTGGTGTGTTTACCATAAAATATTTGAGATAACTCTACATGGCATTTGCATATAAAACTCTCAAAAATGTGATCATTATAGTTGGGTAAAAACTCACCTACGTTGAAGATAAAACCCAATATAAATCGATATAGTAAGACTTGCTTCATTATCCTTATAAAAATCCTTGCTTATCATCGAACCTAACTAGTTTTTGTTGTATGTATATATAAAAGTGTTTGATTATATATATAAAAGTATTATTTCGGCATAATATATATTTTGATCACTTCATCAAATAAAAATTATTAATTGTTTATCATAAACAATGATCAGATTACAACTAACTTAGATAATCGAAATTAAAGAAAAGAAGTAGGAGAAAAATGGACCAAGTTCGGATTTTTTTCAAAATTATTCGATGTAGTTAATTAGGAAGGTAGTTCAATTGATAGAGCTACTGGAACTTGTCTTCGTGGGTTTTATGTGCTTCAACAATCTCTTCCTCCAAATTTCGACCCTTTAAAGTCAAAAATAGTTCAGTCGCAAGCTTACGATGAGTTTTTGAACCTTATTCGTTTCCTTGCTCAGTTCACTTTTCGAAGGTGTTGCTTTGAGACATCAACAACACTTTGGAAGTTCGGAATTTACATTACAAATGGTCAAGCTAAAGATTTCATGCTTCTTGCCCCTGTTTCAGCCCTCTATGCAAAAGACCTTGATTTCATTAAGATAAGAAATGCTTTAAATCCAACAATAACTTTAAAAATTAAAAATATTGAAAATAAATTTTAATTTAAATAGTTAAATCATTCAAATTTCAATATGCATATATGGTCAAGTTACTTGGCCCCATTTTTCGTTAGGTATTTTCTTACATCACCTTTTGCAACATTGAGTGCAGTTTTCCCTTCTTTATTCTTTGCTTCTTTATCAGCTCCAACAGAGATAAGATATTTAACAACTTCAAGATGACCATATCTTGATGCTAAAATGAGTGGAGTAAATCCATTATCATTCTTTGCTTCTTTATCAGCTCCAACAGAGATAAGATATTTAACAACTTCATGATGACCATTCTTTGATGCCCAAATGAGTGGAGTCCATTCATCATTATCCTTTGCTTCTTTATCAGCTCCAACTGAGATAAGATATTTAACAACTTCAAGATGACCATTTTCTGATGCAATAATGAGTGGAGTCCATTCATCATTATTCTTTGCTTCTTTATCAGCTCCAACAGAGACAAGATATTTAACAACTTCAAGATGACCTCTAGATGATGCAAAAAAGAGTGGGGTTTGTTTATATATATCCTTTACTTCTTTATTGCACTTACAATCAATGAGTAATTTGACAAGGTTGAGATTTCCGTTCACACATGCTACATGAAGCACATTTTCATCTTTCCATGTAATCTTTTCCCAAAGTCCTTCTTCACAGGCTTTTTGAATCATTTCTTGATTTCCTTTTATAGAAAGTTCCCAAAAGAATTGGTAAACTTGTTCAAAATCTCTAGATTTCTTAAGTTTTGCGATTTTAGTTAAAAATTCTCTTGAGAAATTGTTATTTTCATGAGTTCTATTGACTTCTGTTTCTTTGGCCGTACTTTGCCTTTGTTCTTGAATTTCTTTTAATTTTTCTTGATGTTTTTGAATTTCTGCTCTTGAATCAAGTGTATCTTTCTCTTTTCTATCTAAAATGTCAATCATATCATCGAATATTTTGAATTTCATGTATTTTTTGATAGATTTCAGTATTGAAACAATTTCTTCCATGTTTTGGATAGTAACATGCGCTTTTCGTGTGCAGGTATATAATTCCTTGGAATTAATAGTTGTATGAGATTGTTTGAGAAGAGTAATGTACTGGTCTACAGTTAATCTTGAACATTTCATGATTTTTTTGATATCTTCTACGTCAAATGTATCAAAGAAGTTTTCATTTTTAATATAATCGCTTATATGAGCAGCAATGTATTCGTAATTCAGATTCATGTCTTGAGCCATTTTTGAAATTTGTAAACTTTACAAAATTTCTTATAAAAAATAAGAGCCTAGTATTGGGAAACTTATTATGAAAGTATATTATTATCAAAATTAATTTGGAGAAATATTAGCCAGAATACTTGATTAACTTGGTGCTCGACAGATAATCACTAAAAGATGTTTAAAAGACCTCATCATTGTCGAAAATTTAAAATTTAAAGTGCCCATAGTTTTTTTTTTTTTTTTGAGACGAAACGATAAATTTATTGATATCAACAATGGCAGCGATTTTCACCCTGACCGGAATGTTGACTGTCCTTTTAATTTTCATTTGTACCGCATACTACTTAAAGCCAATCTTTTCAAGTTGGTTTGTTAAGGATAGTCCTTCGTTCTGGAGATCAACATTATGGAAAGCATCTCGTGCTGGAGAAAGGCTCTCTCCATGGATTTCATTAATGCTCATAGCGCTTGCAATTATTCATTTCCAATCAAAATGGAGTGAAAAATAAAATTTTTACATTATTTCGTAAGATTATATCTGTTACGATCGATATAATACAAAATTATTAATGCCAAACATTTTCAATTAGCAAGGAAAATGATTAAAATTGTGTTTTATTTAAATAAACATTCTAAATTTTTATTTTACCTTTCAAATATAAGCTATATTTTACTTTATGGAAGTTCCATTCTGGGATTTTTGTTTCTAATTCGTGAGTGATCTTCTTCTATGATTTTTTTCAGATCAAGCTAATTTCAAATTATGATTTTTTTCTTGCAGCCTTGCCATACTCAGAACATATGTTATATTCTCATGAACAGCAAATGCTTATTCCATTTAGTATCTGGAATTTGATGCCAGTTTTCAATTTTCTAGATTTTTGGGCTTTCGGACTCAATGCATGCTCATTATGTCTGTAGTCTACTTTGTGTAATTGGAGTTTATGAAAAACATTTAAAAACTATTAAAAAAATTTATCAATTTGTTCCGTTCCCCTTCAGGAATTGATTCACAAAGCTAGAATAAGAATTTCTTCTAGAATTGACATAGAAAGAGTTGATAAAACAATATGAAAAAAAAATCCAATTCAGAAAAAACAAAAAAATAAAATGTAAAAAAAATCGATATAAAATTCATATTTATATACCAAAATTTATGACTTTCCAGTCCTTTGATTACATAATAATATCCGAGAAATTAAAGTTTATCGAGTGTTGAATCCTGAGTACATGTAAAGCCGTTGAATTGTTCCTGAGTATCTGCTCCGATAAGCGAACCATCTTCGAAGGAAACGCCACCAGTTTCGTGAGTGAATTCCTCGTCGAATAAAGAAGTATCTGTTGCGTTCTTGATCTTTGGCTTCCATTCTGGTTTTGTCTTCTTATTGAAGACGTTCTCCCAGTTGATGGATGCGAAGAATGGATGAGCCTTGATCTCTTCGTAATCTGAAGGTCCAGAACCGAGACGAGCTTCTGGATTACGGTTAAGGAGCTGGTTGATCAAGCTCCTTGCGTCATGGCTGACGTGGCTTGGGTACTTAACGTCGTCGCGAAGGATAGAACGATACATTTGATTTGTATTTTCATCGTAGAAAGGTGGGAGGCCTGTAAGCATTTCGTAAATAATAATGCCGTATGACCACCAGTCGACAGCTTTTGTATATGGAAGACGTTGAAGCATTTCGGGTGCAATATATTCTGGAGTACCACAGAATGTACTTGTAGTACCCATATCTGTATTCTTAGCAAGACCGAAGTCTGTGATCTTCAAGTGACCATCCTGGTCAACGAGGATGTTTTCTGGCTTGAGATCGCGATAAATGAAGCCAAGTTTGTGAAGATAGCCAAGACCAAGGCAGATTTCGGCAGCGTATAAGCGGACACGGCTCTCTGCAAAGAGGGATTCTTCCTTAAGACGACCAAATAATTCACCACCTGGAACATAGTCCAAAACCATGAAAATTTTGGCATCTGTTTGGAATGTGTAGTGAGCGCAAACCAAGAATGGATGCTTGGTTGTCAAAAGAACGTTTCTTTCAGTAATTGTCTGTTCGACTTGATCTGATTCAGCAAGAAGACGCTTACTCATAGTCTTAAGAGCGAAAAGCTTGCCTGTTTCTTTTTCTTTGACAAGTTGGACTTTACCGTAAGTACCGCGGCCAAGAACACCCAAAATTGTAAAGTCATCCATTGATACTTTCTTTGCTGGAGTTGTTGAATTCGAAGTTTGTACTGGAACACCGGCCTTCGGGATTCTCTTATTCTTAGAATTATTAATTGCGGCGGTTAAAACGGCTACCCATTCATTAACTTCGGCTTGTGTTTCTGGTACGACATAATATGTACGACCTGATGTAACAATTTTATAAGCTGGCTGCTTCTTGCAATCTGGAGCTGGTGAAACTACAACTGTTGGATCAAGCGGAATCCTACCATGCTCATTTCCATCAGGTTTGTCATAGTAGACAAGCCAGTCATCTGTAAGTACGAAGTATCTCTTCTTCCAGGTTTTAATCATACCTCCTTGCTTAGTAGCCCATCCAGTTTTGTACACAGACATTTTTTTTTCTTAGATGACGATATGAATTTTTCTTAACTTTTGAGGTGAAATTATTTTTTTGAAAAGTTCGTTGGTGACCTTATCTTACCATAATAAGTCGGGTTTACTCATTTCTAAATTGCGTTCAATGTGATGAATATTGCTTCAATTTATTTACCCTTTTGAGGGGAAAAAATAACCGCAATCGATAATCCTCGTAGGCAACACCTTTTAATATTTTCTATATTCTGCCGAATCGAAAACTGATGTTTTCAGGTATTTCAATATAAAATTAACGTATTATTTTTCCCTTTTTCTCTCAATTTTTACCTTTTTCTTTTTTGTCAAATTTGACGTAACAATTGGGTCAGGTAGGATATGGATTATATTCTGTTAAATATGTTATTTTTTCTGAAATAAACGAAATTTTTCAGAAATTAGAAAGGTGACCAAACTATTTTTTGAAAGTCCGCCATAACTTTAATGGTACTATTTCAGCGTGTACAATGAATACAAAAATTCTAAGAGTGCCACATAAAATAGTACTTTAGACTTGAGTTAATGCTACCAAGCAAATGTTAAAAAGATGACTTTAGTGTTTTGATAATCAAAGATTAAAATCATTATTGTCTAAATCAATAATCATAACGACAGAAGTTAATGTTTTTTCATAAGTGCTTTAAATCCACTTTTAAAAGTATACCTCAAAAATCAAAATATCAAAAAAAAAATTGGCCGATAGGTTTGGCTTTAATTTTTGTCTGCTTTTATGATTTGATATGGATGTTATAATTTTAAAAGTTGAGCCAAATTCACCAATAGATTTTTGAGATTTGCAAATACTCAATAATTTTCAGCGTGTTATCTTTTATTAAAAGAACTATTTGGTTTCAGTATCATATAAATTGATATTTACTTTCTATTTGAACCTTCATTTAGCTAATGATTTAATAATACAGATTTCATCTAGTCCTTATAAGAGAATTTTGAATTTGTTATAATAAAAAAACAAACAGATATAGCTTACACTTCTATAATAAAGATACCTTTTATAGAAATCAGTATGAAATGTGTTTTGGCTTATTGGAAGCATATCAGACATAATCGCCATAATCAAAAAATCTATATACCCAATAAGTAATAAATTTGTCGATATAGATTTTCCATAAAATTAGTTTTTAGTCTGATCTTAAAATAAATTTAATTTTTTATAAAAAAAATCACATTTAAAAGTACCTTTTTAGTAGCTCGAAATCCTGTTGGTGGATTTCGGGCGTACTTCAAAATTAGCTTTTCTTCTACATATGCAAGCTATATTTTAAATATGGAGCAAATCGGATCGGCGAAAGGAGTTTAGTTACCTTTGAAATTAGTAATTTTTGCGATTCTTTCTTTATCGATGCTTGAAATCTTGTTCAATTGTCCAAATTCATTTAAGAAATTCGATGATTCATATATCTTACTCTCAAAAAAGATTTCATGAATTTCGGAATCAACGACATAGTAATTCAAACGGATGATCGATTTCGGATTTTTGTTCATTGAATATTGTGAGAGATTCCTCTCTGTTAACTCTAAATTTGGAAATTGATTTTTTATTTCTGAGTGTTGTTGAAATTTGGACATTGAAATAGGACTAATTTTATTTAAAATGGAACTTTAAGATATGAAAAATATAAAATTCCATTTATTCCCTTTTCTATTCTTTTGATTAATGAACTTTTAGCGACATATGAGTAAAATTCTGATAATTCGTACGTATTCTGTAATTAATGGATATGTTGCATGTGCAAACATCTAGGAAAGACACAATGTTAAGCAATCTTCATCTGAATGCTTAGCATTCAGCGATAATCGGGTATAATAACCCTTTTTATTTTGATACGATCATTTTTGAGTTATTGGTCTCATCTAAAATTATTGTTTTGATTCAAATGCTTTTCGAATATCCAACCAATAAGTTATTGTTGTTCTATGGATAAATGCAGAGGATTTCTTTATTCATGTTAATTTGAATTGAATTATTTGTATTTTACTCTCACAGGATTCAAAATAAACTATATTTTAGGCTTAAAACTCAGTTAAATCCATATTAATTCAGTTCATATAATATGTATACAGATCGTATTAACTGTAGAGTTACTGTATTATATATTAGAGTGTGTGCCCTTACATATCTCCATAGTCATATTGTTATGTATTTATCCAGTATATACATAATTACAAAATTTTTGCTCAGGTATCTCTGAGACCCCAACCTTAAAAAATACTATTCTAGGAGAAGCAGATGTAGAATGAACTCGAAAGCCAGTAATATCATCATAATTCCTTTTAGTTAGTGAGTTAACTAATTCAAAAATATGAAGTTTCCATTTCATTTTGATGACATCAAAAAACACTCATATTTCAATAATGATCGTATAAAGCAGTAAATGCATAAGTATTGTTTAAACTCCGCTTTGGTCTACTGGATATAATATAGTATGTACCCTTACATATTCATATGGATTACATACAAATCTTGTTTAATGATAAAACTATTTAGCAAGAAAAAATATAGTAAAAATACTTAAATTTAGTTTAATTAATTAAGATAATGTAGTTAAATGATGTATATAGTTGATATATCATTCAATTGTTACACCATCCAAAACGCAAATGATTCCTGTGCCAACTTGGAAAAAGCCGTGTTTTTCGTAGAAAGCCAATCGTTCTTTTGCTTTCACAGATGTGGGAGCAGGAGTAAGGGCTTCAAGAGCACCATAATCATTTTCTTTTGCGTACTTCTTTAAATGCTCCATCAGTATTTTACCAACACCATGTCCACGGTAATTTTCGTCGACAATCAAATCAGCAATGTTCAGTGATTTGCAAGACAATTCCAATGTATACAATCTGTTGCACATTGCACATCCAATTGGAGTTCCATTTTTCTCGGCAATGAAAATTGGTGTTTCATCAGGATTTTTAAGTACATGCTTATAGATAGAATCGAACTTGGGGAACTTATACTCTTGATTTGTTCCTATACTGACATTAACCAAACTGGCAAGGCATTTTTTGATGAAACTTCCATCATTGTATGAAGCATTACGAACTTTGATTCCTGAGCTCATGAGAATCAATAAGAAAAATGATGCTGTTTATCTTATTCAATTCATGTTTTTATCATTGAATAAGTCCGAAAATTGATCCAATTTTATCACACTTTTTTCAATAAACCGAGGTTAATTTCAGTAAAACCGACCGTTTCCAATATTCAATTGAAGATCGCAAATTTATGAGCAATGCACGATTTATGTGGTTTGAATATGAAAGAGACTCATTTGACAAAATGATTGTATTCTCTTTCAATTTTTGAATGTAAATTTTATTTTCTCAAATCTAGGGAAAATTCAATACTTTAATGATTGTCAACTCCCACATTTATATAGTTTAAGTGTAATTATCCATATATCTGTAATTTAAATTGAATATATTCAAAAAATCGAGGTTATTGGTAACTTTTTAAATTGATTCTCAATAATTGTGATACTCACAAATATAATTTTCATTTGAAAAGTGATGAATTCTGCTATAAACCAACTCTCTGAACAATGATTTAAATTTTGAAACTTTTTTGTCAATATTACTTAAATTCGCGAAATATTATTTTTGAATTAGTCAGTATTGATATTTACGATTGCACATCTTCAAACAAGGATTTTCTGAAGTTCGGAATAATAATTGGTATTTTATTGAATATTTGGATTCCCTCTATTTTAAAATTCAAAGAAAATCATATCAATAATTGTTTTTCCAAACCAATAAAATGCAGTCGAGCAATATGGGCGTTATTTATTTTAATTTTTTGGGAAAATCAAATTTCAATTTCCATTAATATATGAAAAATCATGTTTTCAATACAATAGTTTCATTTACATTTTCTTTAAAGAATCTAAATTTATAACACAATCAGAAAAGAATAATGATTTTGGCAAAAATAAATTCATTTTTTAATTTCATTAAAATATACAAATCTAGTCCATGTATAATATGTCAGCATGCTTTCCATCTGAACCTCCATGTCAGATAATTCCAATAAAAAAAAGATAATTATCAAAAATTACAAGTCTTTAGTTCCAGTATTTCATCCTTCCATACACTAGTCTACTTACTGTTATTATGTTAAAGCAATCGCAAAAATCGTAAATTTATCGGTCTGGATTTGCGAATCTTTTGTTCTAAAATTTGAAAATGTTTAGCTCAATCGAATTGTTTTTCATTATGCGACATATAAAAATATATGAATGCACATAATTTCTTCTTTTGTAGATAAGATGAAAAGAACGCAGTCACGCTCAATCTCCAATCAGAGGATATTATAAATTATTCATTTCATATTTTACATCTTGTTAAAATATTGCACTATTTCAATGAATTGTTGGCCATGTTGTTGATTGTGTTATTGCTTGTATGCTTGTAAACTTTATAATAAAAAAAAATAAATTTAAAAAAATTAATCTCTAATAGTACTAAAACTCTATATTTTACTAAACTAGTTCTATATATTATGTATTTTCTTAAAAATTCTTCTGAAACAATTAAAAAATAATATAAATCAAATAAAATGAAAAATAGTACAAAAAAGCACATAGAAAATGCATTTTGAATAAAATCCAAAAGCATTACTATGGAAATAAAAAGTTATTCAGAATTTGAGTATCTATTGATTAAATTTTGGCAATGTATTCTTATATCTTCATTTGAAGAGTCAGACATTCTTTCAAGAGCATCAAAACCGAGACAATCATTCAACTGATTGAATAAAAATTCATTGTTTTGAGGATCAGAGACTTTTTCAGTCAAAATATTGACAAGTTCAAGACCAAATGCAGTGTAATCATCTTCAAATTCAGATGAAATGTATTCAAGAGATTCTGAAAACATTCTGAAATCTAATTCACTAATTTCAGATCCAATCTTAGAAATTATTGAATTAAATAGTATAATATAAGGTCCCTTATTAGCAAACGGTGAATTCTCACATTTTTCAACAATGTAGACTATAAAATCTGATTCACAAAATAATTTATAAAATTCTTCGGATTCGAGAAGAAAAGAAAGCATAACCATGATTGATCTGACGATACTCGTGTCATATATGTCAATTGACTGCTTAATTAACTCCAAATCAATTCCATTATAAAAAATGCCACTTGAAGCAAGAGTTCCAATCAAATCGCATGCCTTCTTGAATGTATTGCTATTTGTTGAGCATAAAAGCTTGGAAATATAAGCAAAAGATGAATCTGGAAGTAAATTTTGTTCTGCAAGGTAATTTCCGAAATTTAAAGCGTAAGGAAGATGTGAAAGTTCTATGTTGTGTCCTTCAATTGATTTCTCGAAGATTTGGATGAGAAATGGAGCAGATATTTCGATTAATTCTGGTTTTATAAAAATTTTTATGTAAATGAATAAATATTGACAAAATGAGAAGTTTGGAAGGAGCGTGAAATTGAAAATACATTCTGCAGAAAAAATTGAAGAAACATACTCAAAATTATGGTGTGAGAGTGATAAAAGTAGCAAATATAAGCTGTTGTCTGAAACTACTAATGGGTCTTGGTGGATGTTTTCGAGTAAATGCTCGAGAAATTGTAATGAGATTATTTTTTCGCAAAATTCAGGAGATTTTGAGATAATACTTGATGTACATGCAAGTGCATTTGTTATACAGTTGCAGTAATGATTTGTGCAGCAAATCGATGAAATAAAAATGAAAAATTCTTCATTTGAGTCATTTAATTCGAATTCTTCTGAATCTAAGATCTTTGAAAATGCACTTAAGCTTGCTGCAAGAAGTGGTAAATTACCTTTTTCGTTGTATTCAATAATTGAATTAATATTTCTTTCAAAATAGTCTTCTTCATAGGAAGAATCATAATCATACTCTTCCTCGCCGTCACTCAAGTTTTTTCGTTCTTTTGTTTCATTAAATGGCTCTTTATATTCCATGATTTTTATACATTGCCACTTTTTTATATGTTCTCTCCGCATCTGAACAACATTTAGCGACCAATAGTCAATCATTCAAATTCCAACGCTATTATGATATATGGAGAATAGTATGCAATGATACCATTAGTAAATTTTATAATTGAGAGATGTTTCAATAAAAAATTAGCTTTGGTGCTTAACATATTAATTATATTAGTTGTCTGAAAATGATTAGATGATAGAAGAGATAAACTTTCAGAGAATAAAAAAAAAATTGAAAATTATCAAACAAAAATATAACAAATATTTAAACAGAATTAGTAAATACCATTCTAAAAGCTCTAAATCTATGGTTAATTTTTGGAGATTGGTTAATATGAGCTTGGTTCATAACTCCTCCGTATTTTGGATTTGGTTCAATGAAAAACAGTCTTCCTACACGTGAATGGACCATTGCCATAGTACACATACAGCATGGTTCGTAGTAGCAGTAGACATCTAAGTTTGTACAAAGGTAAGAATCGTTTTGTATTGCCCATCTTGATGCCTCTCCAACAGCATCAATTACACCGTGCTCAAAACAGCATTCGCAGTTATCGCAATCTGATTTTGCTTTTGCAACAACTAAAGGAGTATCTGGTTTTGCAATTATAATGCATTTCTCATTATAACACTTCTCTAAATACTTAATGTGTTCGTCAATATTGACTTTTTCTGGTAAAGATTGGTCAATTAAATTATTCATTGGCCAAAATGCATGTGCTTGGTTTTTCTGTTCGAGATTTCGAGGACACCAACATGGAAGATTAATGAAAAATACATCTGTTGATAGTCCAAGCTCTTGTAATTTGTTTTTAACCATTTCTACTTCATCTTTGGAATATGATAGTACAACTGACTTTCTTCCATCAGGTTCTAACCTAAATCGTTGTATGTGTCTCCTTCTTTCTATTTGAAAGTTCTGATTAATCACATTTGCATTTTTTGGATCGATTGTCGTAGCAATTCCTTCTTCAAACATCATGTCTCCATCAAGAGCATTGCTTGCAATCTCTTTTAATTCTGCTGGAGGCAAAGTTGGTGTTGAATTTTGAATTCCCATGCAAAATCTGTCACTTTTTTACAAGAATTTCATCCAAAAATCATTTATGGAATTGTGACACTGAAGTTCATTGCAATAAATAACAAATATGTGTGATTTGTGATGATATGGATGAGTTATTCAGGCTTTTAAATGAATATTAAATTAATATATAGTGAATAGTTTCATTTTTATAGTGTTTACATGTTATTGTTGTCATTAAAAGGAAAATTGTATTATTATAAGGATGTCAATTCGGAAAATTGTTTTCATTTTAGGAGAATATAATTTTCCTTTTGGAAAATTTAAAAAGTGAGACGCGCAGGATTCGAACTTTTTTAAAAGTTGATTTAAATATATTCTCGTGTGGATTCTAAGGATAATATCATATTTAAAATAAGAATATACTAGTTTAGGTGGTATAATTTTTTTCGATAAATTTGAGAGCATGTACGTTTAGGGCATCAAAAGTGTCAATTCGCTCAGCGAAAGCTGAGCTAGCTTCGTTCTCGAAAGAATAGGGAAGGAGTGAAAGAGAGTGATACAGATGTTGACACATTCATATCATTTCAACAAATTTTGATCAAATTGAAATTCAATGAAATTCAATTCACTTCATATCCTTCAGTCAGTACATCGACATCCTTCTACATCACAATGATAACTCGTGCATCAATAGTTCTACAACTAACTCAGAAAAAACAAGATTTTTCCTTCCAGCTTACAGCTTTTAAAAAGTTTCGATGATAAAAATCACTCTACTCTTGTTTATCGATATGTTGTGATAGTAGGTAAACGTATTCTTATCGATATTAATAAAAATATTTTTACGAAAATCTGAACCAATTACAGAGTTATTCATAAAGTTTATGATAACTGTAATTACTTCATCTTTGTTTTATATTTGAATAAACAATTTAATTTAATTTGCATAATTTTTTTTAGTTGAAAGACAGGAAACTTAGTTGAGTTTGTATTATTTTTATCGTTCAATTCATTGTATATGTGAGTGATCCAGATATTTAAGATATTTAGAAAAAATTTATTAATTTGATTAACAAATTTTAATCAAAATAGCAAAACTCTATTTGATAGCTGTAAACAAATAATAATTTCTATTTCAACCAAAATCACTTATTTTCATCTAAACGTATAAAATTGTCAATTTTATGAGAATAAATTTAAAATCTCATGAAATATAAAGGAGAGTAATATTTTTCAATTTTCTTTTTTTCTTTCTCTCAAATATTTTCTATTGGGAATTTTCTTGTTATCAAAAAATAATTTTGCAAATTATCTCAGACTTTTCAGAGGATTGAGTTGCCACTCAATCCTCGGAAATAGTCTGTGGTAATTTTTAGTCTCTACACTATTTCAATATAAGCTCCATTTTTAAACAGTTTTTAAAAATCGAGCATTGAAAAGTGTGATGAGACTTTAATATTTGTTTATTTCATTACATACAATAAAATTTTAAAAACTCTATTTCTTCACAAGAAAATTTTTTTCCTTAATATGAAGAAACATTTTGTTCTCCATTTGATGCTGAGTCTAAATCTCGATTTTTGAATTTTCTTCTTTCCAAATTTCTTTTTTCCAAATTAGAAGTTTAATTCAAATTTTCAATAGTTTATATATTTTCTCAAACCGTCTTAGATTTTCTCACTTTTTAGGGATTTTCTCTCAAAATATACAAAAATAGTAATACCAATAAATGTGTCTAATATACTTTAAAACCATCGTGATAAAATTCAAAAACGAAGAGTTCTTCTCTCCAAATTTTTTTCAAAATCAAAAAAATGAGATAAAAAAACACGTTTGGAAAATTCATTTTTAGCATTTTAGGAATTTTCTCACTTTTCTTCCAAATTGACATCCTTAATTATTATAGTACTATTAAAAACTTTAAAATTAGATAGAAAAGAAATATGAAAAACAATTTATTAAAAAAAAGTCCGTGGGAAATCAAAACTCAGCCTTTCCACTCTTAACATTTTCAATTGACGCGTATATCTGTTCCATAAATTGTGGCCAAGCCATATTTGAATTAATTTGTTGGCCGGCATAGGATAAAGTAACAAACATATAGAAAGGAAGTAAAATTAACATAATAATCTTGTAAATTTTCGGTCTGAATAATTTTTCATAACCAATGGCGACAGCAAAAACAGAAGCAGGGATTTGATATCTAAAAACATCAATATGGAATAGCAACGATACATATATCATATGAACAACACAATATGTGGCAAGTGGAGGACATTTTTCAAATATTAATAATGAGCCCATTAAAAAGATGAAAAATGATCCCAATGCACCGTAACTATAGAAAACTTCGGGTTGTACATAGTATGCGTCGTTTAATGGCGGCCATTTAATAAGTTTCTGGCTTCCTGAATTAAAATCGATATAAGCAAAGGGATTATGAAAACGGTATTGATGGAAACCCAAGAGAATAATTGTTGACACAAAAGTCAAAAACATTCCGAATGCTCGGAAAATTCTCAAAGATACGAGGTAACAGAGGCCAATGGCAAATCCAACGGCCATTCCTTCAATTCTTGTAAAGCATCCAAGCCATACTGATAACATCATTAGCCAAAATCTATTTTGTTTGTAAAAAATGAAAGATAATGAGATTGATGTGAGATATAATGGTTCTGATGCACCAACACTATGATATATCAAAAATCTGACAGGTAAAAAGCAAGTAGCAATAGTACTAAATAAAGGATTTTCAACGCATTGATAAACTATCAGCAATCTGCGAAAAGTGTAAATAAAAAGTAAAGATTCGGCGATAATCGAAAAATAAAATCCTAAAATATAATTGCCGAAGAAAATTGTTGAAAATATTCTGATAAATAATGGATATCCTGGTAAATGGCATGCAAAATATGATGGAGGGTATTGAAATTGTAACGTCCATGGATTGTCTTTTGGAATTTTATATAGGGTTTCGCCAGCATATAAATAATTTGGTCCATCCCAATAGCAAAGTATGGAATTTAAGCTGCCATAATAAGCTGCCGAGCACCAAACACAAAATATTGATGCTACCATTGTAAGTGAGCAAATCAAATCATCCCTGTCTAAAGCCCAAAGAGATTTTTCTCTTTTAGTATTACTAACACTTTCTTGAGGTAGTTTGTTGTTGAATCCCTGTTTTGGTCTATTTGATGGTGGTATTTTAGTTTTATTATTTTTCATTCAAAGTAAGAATGTGAAGTGATAATTATTTCATAATATATTCTCCTTTGATATTGTTTGTTATGAATGAAAACTAATGAGTAAGGATGTCAATTCGGAAAATTGTTTTCATTTTAGGAGAATATAATTTTCCTTTTGGAAAATTTAAAAAGTGAGACGCGCAGGATTCGAACTTTTTTAAAAGTTGATTTAAATATATTCTAGTGTGGATTCTAAGGATAATATCATATTTAAAATAAGAATATACTAGTTTAGGTGGTATAATTTTTTTCGATAAATTTGAGAGCATGTACGTTTAGGGCATCAAAAGTGTCAATTCGCTCAGCGAAAGCTGAGCTAGCTTCGTTCTCGAAAGAATAGGGAAGGAGTGAAAGAGAGTGATACAGATGTTGACACATTCATATCATTTCAACAAATTTTGATCAAATTGAAATGCAATGAAATTCAATTCACTTCATATCCTTCATTCAGTACATTGACATCCTTCTACATCACAATGATAACTCGTGCATCAATAGTTCTACAACTAACTCAGAAAAAACAAGATTTTTCCTTCCAGCTTACAGCTTTTAAAAAGTTTCGATGATAAAAATCACTCTACTCTTGTTTATCGATATGTTGTGATAGTAGGTAAACGTATTCTTATCGATATTAATACAAATATTTTTACGAAAATCTGAACCAATTACAGAGTTATTCATAAAGTTTATGATAACTGTAATTACTTCATCTTTGTTTTATATTTGAATAAACAATTTAATTTAATTTGCATAATTTTTTTTAGTTGAAAGACAGGAAACTTAGTTGAGTTTGTATTATTTTTATCGTTCAATTCATTGTATATGTGAGTGATCCAGATATTTAAGATATTTAGAAAAAATTTATTAATTTGATTAACAAATTTTAATCAAAATAGCAAAACTCTATTTGATAGCTGTAAGCAAATAATAATTTCTATTTCAACCAAAATCACTTATTTTCATCTAAACGTATAAAATTGTCAATTTTATGAGAATAAATTTAAAATCTCATGAAATATAAAGGAGAGTAATATTTTTCAATTTTCTTTTTTTCTTTGTCTCAAATATTTTCTGTTGGGAATTTTCTTGTTATCAAAAAATAATTTTAATATTTGTTTATTTCATTACATACAATAAAATTTTAAAAACTCTATTTCTTCACAAGAAAATTTTTTTCCTTCATATGAAGAAACATTTTGTTCTCCATTTGATGCTGAGTCTAAATCTCGATTTTTGAATTTTCTTCTTTCCAAATTTCTTTTTTCCAAATTAGAAGTTTAATTCAAATTTTCAATAGTTTATATATTTTCTCAAACCGTCTTAGATTTTCTCACTTTTTAGGGATTTTCTCTCAAAATATACAAAAATAGTAATACCAATAAATGTGTCTAATATACTTTAAAACCATCGTGATAAAATTCAAAAACGAAGAGTTCTTCTCTCCAAATTTTTTTCAAAATCAAAAAAATGAGATAAAAAAACACGTTTGGAAAATTCATTTTTAGCATTTTAGGAATTTTCTCACTTTTCTTCCAAATTGACATCTTTATAATGAGAAATCTTTTAAATATAACAATAATTTAATGAAATATCGTATTATGTTTATTTGGTCTAAAATAGCGGATTATCTTATTATTCAGCAAGATGTCCTTCTTATGTGTTAATGAATTATAGGAAAAAAAATAGCAAAACATCAAAATTTAAAAATGAAATTGGAATTCTAAAAGAAATAAAAATACATGTCAATTTAGTATAGAATCATAACAAGTTTACATTTGCAAATTAGCGTAGATTACATATAAAAATAACATAAAATACATCATTTCCATCTTTCTTCGTTAGAAACAGCTCTTGTTGTCTTTGGAGCAGTAGATTGAAGTGTGGAGTACTTCTGATTAAAATCTCTAGAAACATTCGAAATCCTAGACAATGGTTGTCGAGTTCTCTGTTGTTGTTGTGTTCTTTGTTTGAAGTAATCATGAAATGCTAGTGAAGGACGAGCTGATTTAGGAGCTTCTTCTAATTGAAGTTGCTCCTGAGGTGCCTGTTTAACAGGGTTCTTCTTAATTCTTGACCATGAACAAATTGAATTTCTTTGGAATCTTCCTGGAGGCTTTATCACAGCAATCGGCTTTGCATCCATTTCATTGATAACAAAAGGTGAAGGTTGATCAAGTTCTTCTGTTACATCAACAAGCTCTGCCATGTGAACAAGCTTCTTGACTTCATCACCATCATTCTGTTTCCTAAGAGACAAATTCTGAATAACTTCTCTCTGAACTGCAACTTGAGCTTGATATAACTCATTAACAGCAGAAAGAGCCAATTTTTCAAGTTTAAGAGCTCTTATTTGCTGTTCTTGATCTAACCATTTCTTCTGCTCTTGAACTTGTGGCCTGTTCTTATGTGACTCCTGAAGGTAAGCATTAACTCTCTGCATAACTCTCCTTGTAAAATCTGTTGGTTTAATTGTTGACAAACTCTCGAATCGAGTTTGTAAATCCTGCTCTTGAGAAGGAAGAGATGCTGTAAGCATCGATTGTATCTTTGTGCGTTGCGATTGAAGTATGGTATCGCAAGCTCTTCCGTAAGCAGTAATCAATGGAATGTTAACAGCAGTCTGTTGAAGCTCTTGAACCTGAGTACGAAGCTTTTCAATCATAGCTTGATATTCAGCTACATGAGCTTTAACATTAACTGTATTCTTTTTGACATTTGTTTTAATATTCTTGGCTTTGTTCGCATATTGGAGAGTATTAAATGTATCTTCATAGGTTGCATAAGAAGGAGATATACATGATAAGCAAATTGTTTTGCAGTTACCACCTAAAGAATCCATCAATAATCGAGTTAACTTTGATTGACGGAATGGAATATGCGAACTTCCATTGCACAAGGCAGTAATGCAGTTACCTAATGCTAAGAGAGAGCAGTTAATTTTTGCTGTTTCTCGTAATCTAACTCCTGTATTAGAAGTAGCGCGTTCACTACCAGCAAGATCAATTAAAGAAAGTTTTCCAATTTGCGATGTTGTTGACATTCCCGGTACATCATCGCAATTTTCAACGATAATTTGTAAAATTGCATGTGACCGTGAAGAAAATGGATTTGCCTCTGTTGGTGCCTGGGTTCTATTTGTGTTACCGATTTGTACAAGACGAAGCACTTCATCAGTATTTGTTGGATAACAATGGCTCAGTCCAGTAACAGTTATTCCATGTTCAGGATCATCAACAATCTTAAGTTCTTTGTTTTTAGAATCGGTCGGATTTAGAAGATCTCGAATATTTTCGTTATATATCTCAAGATATGACATTCTAATCTTTGCTGCGCGACCTGTACGTAATTTAATAGATTGAAATATATGTTCTACTGATCTTGACATTAGACCTGGATTTTCTTGAGTTCCTGCCATACTAAACGTCTTTCCGGATCCTGAAGCACCGTATGCAAGGACTGTGCAGTTAAATCCATCAAGTAGGCCTCCATTTTCTTGAAATATGATGTTTTTAACAAAATCGAAAACTTCAGACTGTGTTGATGTTTCGTCGAAGATTTTATCAAATCCAAATGATATATTTTTTGCTCTATTTCCGCGAGATGATATAAATGTTTGCTTTTGTGCTCTTTCCCCTGGAGGATCAAAAACTAAAAATCGATCATCGATCGTTTTAATTAAAGATCCCTGTTGTACAGATTTTTCTCGATCATTTGCAGGACGAACACGAACAACTACAGTTACAGAAGTGCCGCTACTACGGTTTTGTGTTTCTGGTTGTCCTGTGTCTGAATCTTGCATAAATGTTATATTTTTTAAACGTATACAATTCAAATAGAGAAAGAAATGAAAACATGTGAGTGCGAATAGAATCTACAACGTTTAGATATTAATTTTTTCATATTAAACTGACCTGAAATTCTATCTTTCAAGCAGGGATATTTCCAATATACCGGTAATGATTAAAATAGAGTAGAACTGGATTTTATAGCTTATGTAAATTGCAGCTGTAAAACATTATGGCATAAATGGAAAGACAAACAGAAATATCTTATGAAATTTTAAAATCACAAATGATCCTGTAATAGAATTTATTTTTATAACATTTTAGATTCATTATGTTTCGTTTTTCTTTCCAAAAAAATTTCAAAAATTAAAATTTAAATTTCATTTTCTAGATTATTTTCATCAAATTCTGGAAATCAAAAAAAATTTGGAAAAAAATTAAATTATAACCAGTGTTTAAAATACTAATTACATCAAAATACATCGTATTAATCTATCTTTAACATCCGAAAAAGAAATCTTTAAATTTTATTACTCTATTTCATGATATTATTTAACATTATGGTGATTTTATCGACTTTCTAACGATATAAACACTTTGTCGCATAAATAGACTAAACAAGTATCTAGAAATGAAAGAAATCCCACAATCAAAAGAGATTAATTCGATTATTGAGGGATATCGCATCAGTTAGACATATTAATTTTAGCATGTTCATGAATATATTTGTATGTCTAATCAAGATTGCTTGAATTGATGAAATTTGATTCATAATTTCTCATAAAACATCAAACTAATAACATAAGAACAATAGACAATTGATAGCAAATATAAATATCATATAGATTTCTCCAAAATAATTATGTGGTAATGAAAAAAAAAAACGGTTGTTATTCGTTAGTTTTAAAATGGCACAGAAGAAACCACCGCAGTACACAGCCACACAGGCTCTTGCCGAATGGCAGAAAAACCACCCAGACGAGCCTATTGAAGATGTTGTCGAAGTCGGACTTCAATTTAATCACCCACCCATCACTGTTATGTCTGATAAACTTGCACAACTTGCTGCTTGCAAAAAACTTATGATTAGCACAAATAATATCCAAGAAATTAAGTTCCTCCCGCCTCGTATTGAAGTTCTTTCAATCGGACGTAATCTTCTTACAAAACTTACAGGTATCGAAAAAGCAGCTGCTACACTTACTCAATTATGGATGAGCTATAACTCTGTTAAAGATCTTCGTCCAATTGCCGCTTGCAAGCGCTTAACAGTTTTATATCTTGCCCATAATAAAGTTGAAAAGCAAACAGAATTAGATCACATCCAGCAACTCCCAGATCTTTCCGATCTCCTTCTTACTGGCAACCCAGTTGTCGAAACTATCAGCAAAAACAGAAATTATCGCGCAGAAATGTGCAGACGTTGCAAGAAGCTTCAGATTCTTGATGGCGCCCCAACCACTGATGCTGACCGCGGTGATACATCAGGCCCAGGCGCTCCAGGCGATACATCTTCTCAGAAAACAACTACAGGAAATACAACTACCGGAAATCAATCTGGTGCTCAGTCTTCTGGCAATGGATCTCGTGCTGTTTCTCCACGTGCTTGAAAAATAAATTTGAATGGTTTTTATTTAACGATATTCCTTATTATCAATTATTAACATTTTTCCCACTTGCCTTTAAAAATTAATATATTTATGATGAATCCCAAGATAATTTTACTGATTTTTTTGGAGATATATTCTTGATCAATAGTTATCTTTTTAACATCTAGCCAATTCTTCATCTTTCAGTTTCTATAATACGTAAATAAGATTCATGTATCACATTAAATGAATTATAAAGAATCAAAAATTTCAAATCTTCTCAAATCGAATTATTGAGCCTTAAATAAATGTATTTGAAAGACAAATAATAACACTGTGGTGAGAACTACATTATTTTATTGATTTAGCTTAAATATTTATTCAATAAATTCTCGTTACTTTAAAACATAAAATTTTTGAGGTAAAAACATATTTATTCTTGTGTCTGAGAAGAATCCTTGCCCTTCTTTGGATTGCCGAGAAGGACCTTGTGGATGTGTGGAACAACACCAGCGGAAGCGATGGTGATGTTGGAAAGTAATTGGTTCAATTCTTCATCGTTACGAACGGCAAGCATGATGTGACGTGGGGAAATACGTGTCTTCTTGTTATCACGAGCAGCGTTACCGGCAAGTTCGAGAACTTCGACAGTGAGATACTCAAGAACAGCGGCCATGAAGACTGGAGCACCTGCACCGACACGTTCACCATAACGGCCTTCACGGAGGAATCTGTGAAGACGACCGACTGGGAACTGAAGACCGGCACGGGATGAACGTGTCTTTGGATGCTGGCGTTCACCATCAACGGCTGTCTTTGTTGCTGTCTTCTTAACACCCTTCTTAGCTGGCATTAATAAATTATGAACTTTATTTCACCCCGCCAAAATATTTCTTTGATTATATGGAGTCTAAAATGGCATTTTCAATTTTTTCCGAAAATGCCATTTTAGACCTATGATATTTAACGTAGCTTGAATTCGAATATTGGCGCCAAGAAAAGTGATCATTATTTAGAATGTCTTCAAAGAAGCCAGCCTCTAAAACACCAACAGAGAAGAAGCCAGCCGTCGAGGGAGTCGATGCTGCCAACGCCGCTAAGCAAGATAAGAAGCTCCGCCACAAGAAGCGTGCCGAAACCTTCTCTTCCTACATCTTCAAGGTTCTTAAACAGGTCCACCCAGATATCGGTATCTCCAACAAGGCTATGATGGTCATGAACTCCTTCGTTACAGATATCTTCGAGCGTATTGCTCAGGAAGGTGCTCGTCTTGTCGATATGAACGAACGTAACACACTCGGTTCTCGCGAAGTTCAGACAGCCGTTCGTCTTGTTCTTCCAGGTGACCTTGCCAAGCACGCCGTTTCTGAAGGTGGCAAGGCCGTCGCCAAGTTCAATGCTGAGTAAAATATTGTTATTTTTCTTGCAATTTACTCCTTTTTGAAGATTCGATTATGTTTCGTTGATTAATAACGATTAATTAAATTTTCCGAATCTTGAAATTTAAGACTTGTGAATGGGTAAAATAGTTAAGCATAAGTTATGGGAGTCACCCATGTGAAACTCGAGTTCAAATGCAAATTTTCAAATTTCATTGATCGTTTTATTTCCCAATACATCGTTTTTGTTGAATACTATACTCATTACATTATTTATAATTAGATTTTAAAAAATTCTACTCAATTGCCCTATTCATTTTATAGTTGGCTAATTCGATATGACTCAAAATGCCGAAAAAACACTCAAACAACTCCACACTTTAATTGAGTATAGAAAATCACATCCTGCCCCAGTAGATACACTTGGCTGCGGCACTCAATCAGAAAAAGTTGATCCTAAAACAGAACGTTTTCAAACATTAATATCATTAATGCTTAGTTCCATGACAAAAGATCAGCAAACATCAGCAGCAGTACGAAAATTACAACAAATGGAAGGGGGATTAAATGCACCAAACTTGATGAAAGCAGATTATGATGTTGTTTTAGAATGTATCAAATCAGTAGGATTTGCAAAGAAGAAAGCTGGCTATATCATTGAAGCAGCAAAGATTTGCCATGAAAAATATAATGATGATATCCCAAAGACATTGAAAGAACTTACGAGCTTTAATGGTGTTGGCGTGAAAATGGGAACGCTTGCAATGGCACATTGTTGGGGCGAACAAATTGGTATTGGTGTCGATGTTCACGTTCATAGAATTTCTAACCTTCTAGGCTGGGTTAAAACAAAGAAACCAGATGATACAGAACTTGCATTACAGAAAATCTTACCCAAGGAAATATGGTCTGAAGTTAACCATACTCTTGTTGGCTTTGGACAAACAATTTGCGATGCAAAGAAGCCAAAGTGTGATGAATGCCCAATTAAAGATACATGCCCTGCTCTCCAGCGTGGCAGTGCTAGCGAAGATGATGAATCTAGCGATGAATAATTTTACTTGTTCAGTAAATAAGTTTTTTTCATGTCATATTTGCTTTTTTTACTTGAAAGTTCCAAAAGTATTTTAACAAGTGTTTAGAAACTGAACATTTATTACATACAAACATAATATATTATAAAGTTTAAAATTTTTGTTCTGGAATAACTGTAACTCGTTTTCTTTCGTAGAATCTATCTGATCTATTAATTCCAACATTAATAATTCTTGGGCACCCATCACGATCTTTTCCTAACAAAGAGCATTGTTCGCAATAATATGCTTTATATTTAGCAGGTGCTGAACAAACAATGCACTTGTCACGTAATTGTCCAAAAGAGCATTCGCCGCAAATATGGACTGGAACGCATCGATCTTCTTTCACTGGGGCATTGCAAATAGGACATCTACCTTCACAAGCTTCACATACAAGCCCAAACTCAGGTCCAGGACGTCCACCACATTTAATAGAATCAGGATTCATCATTTTTTATTTTTGAATTTAAATTTTACATGTCAAAAAACATTTATAGTTGGATTTTACTATACGCTCATTAATTGTACAAGTTTTGATAAACCATTGCATGCATTCTAATTTAAATTAGCTTCTGACATACTAGAATTCTATTTGCGAATAAATTGAGAATATTTTCATTTGAAATTTGGGATAGAATTTCAAAATTATGTTGAAATATGAATTATTATATATTATTAAATCCATTTGCAGTTTTAAGTATTTTCATTTTTTTGGATTTTATCAATAAAAATGTTTTATATTCAAAAATTTAAAATATTTTTATTATTATTTTGAAAATTCATTCTTGGAATTATAAATTAATAAAATTTATGCGGGGAAAACATCGTATGAATCAGATACTATTTAAATACTTAATTACATTTTTTATTTTTTTTCAAAATCTGGTCCAAAAAAAGTGACGAATGGCCTTTCGAACAGAATGTCTGCCTCAATTGTTATTGATGCTAAGGGCCACATCCAAGGCCGTCTTGCCGCAGCCGTTGCTAAGCAGCTCCTTAAGGGCCGCAAGATTGTTGTTGTTCGCGCCGAAGAAATCGTTTTAAATGGCAAGCATAAGTTCACAGTCCACACCTACGAACGCTTCCTCAACAAGACAACAAACTCCAACCCACGTGATGGTCCATTCCACCAGCGTGCTCCACGTGAAATTTTCGCTCGTGCTGTCCGCGGAATGCTCCCATACAAGACACACCGTGGTGCCGAGGCATTCGAAAATCTCAAGGTCTTCGAAGGTGTTCCAGCTAAGTACGTCACATACAAGCGTGTTGTTATCCCACACGCCCTCCGCTGCGTTTCCATCCACACTGATCGCCCAACAACAAAGCTCGGTGAACTCTCAACAACAATGGGCTGGAAGTACGGCAAGGTTGTTGCTGATCTTGAAGCCAAGCGCAAGGCCGAATCAGCCAAGTACTACGAAGCTAAGAAGGCTGCTCAGGACAAGAAGGCCGCTGCCATCGAGAAGGCTAACAAGCAACTCGGTGCTCAGGCCGTCAAGTTCCTTGAGACATTCTCTGAATAAATTTACAGCACTTAATGATAAAAGCAGACCATCTTTTGATAACTGTCTATTTTCATATCTAATCTTTTATTACAACTTAATCACAAAATTGGCAAGATTTTTATCTTATATAATACATAATTTTCAATTATTTTTAAACTAATAGACAATATCATCTATACATATTTTGTGTTTGTTTCGATAATGATTGCATTATTACATTTCAATTAACTTAATTGTAATAAATTATATTTTTTTAAAAATGATTTAATCTTATTTTAGAATAGCTTGTTTATCAATAAATAAGTTATAGTTTATGCAATTCTGCATGTTTTTGTTTCAGATATAACTTGATATGTTTCGAAATGTCCATTTAATTCAGCATATTGAGCAGGAGTTAGACCATCTTGGGCCTTCAGTTTAGGATCTGCTCCATTCTTTAGCAAAATCTTTGAAACTTCAACTCTATTGTGCTTTGCAGCGAAATGAAGAGGTGTATTTTGATATTTGTTAACAGCATTAACTTTTGCTCCTTTTTCTAGTAATAATTGAGCAGATCCAGCACAGTTCCTCATTGCTGCAAGATGAAGAGGAGTTAAATCATCGACATCAACACAATTGACATCACATTTGTTATCAATTAAAATTTTTACGCATTCTGTGGAATTGAATTCTGCTGCATAATGTAGAGGAGTTCTTCCATCCTTATCTTTAATTTCAACTTCAGCACCTTTTGAAATAACACTCTCAAGTATTTCATGATTGTTGTACATGCTTGCAATATGTATAATTGATATTCCATTAACGGAATAATTGATCTTTCCTCCTTCTTGTATCAGTTTCTCGATTAATGAAGGAATACAAAATCCTGCTGAATAAACCAAGCATTCATTACTCCATTGTTCTTCCTCCTGGCCTGTTCAAGTTCGAATTGTACGGTGCATCAGGCGGAAGTTATACGGATGAAGTCTCTAGCTATCATTATGAATCAGGTGCATGCATGCCCGACAACTTTGTTAAGCTCTTTAACGGCAATACTAAATGCCTTGAATCATCAAACTATGGCGGTGCCGGCGGATATGTCAGTGGTATTGTCCACATCCGGCATCCTACCAAAATATATGCCACAATTGGTGGCAGCGGAAAATACTCCAATAATACTAAATGCACCACCGTAGAAGACTGCTATTCTGCGGAAAATTTGGTCCCCGGTGGATATGGTGGTGGTGGAAGTTCCGGCGGATATACTTTTGGTTCTTCCAGTGGCGGTGGCCAAACTTCCGTACAATTTTTAGAAAATACTCTATACCACCGAGTGATTGTGAGCGGCGCCGGCGGGGGAACTGATGACTACAGAGGTGATGATGCCAGAGGTGGCTCTGGTGGTAACCTTGTCGCTCAAGGTTGGTGGAATGAATCAGTTTATATCGGCCAGTATGCAGCAAATTCTTCGTTTGGTTTTACATTTGGTACTGGAGAAGCAGCACAGCCATATGTATCAAAGAATCCAAAAGGAATCCAAATATCTGCTGCAGGTGGTGATAAATGCGGCGGCGGCGGTGGCTGGTTCGGCGGATTTGCGAGTAATGAGATCAATTCCGGATGTGGAGGCGGTAGTTCATGGGTATTGACTCAAGATGCCTATATACCCCAAGGTTTGATCAAATCGCATGATGAGTTTTATGATTTAATTGATCAACAAAAGTATCAATTTGATCTCAATTCCGAATATTTATTTTCTGAAGTCCAACATGTTCCAGGCATTTGGCAAGGTAATGGTCGACTAATTATTACACTTATTCGATCTTGCGTAGTTAATAGCTGTGCAGCAAAGTCTAATTTTAAATATTATCTTTTTGGATTCTTTATTTTAAGTTAAATAAACATGTTATAATTTAGATAAGTAATTTTCCTTAATTCAGCAACCTGAACACAAATTGAACAATGACTAGATTCTCAAATAATTTTTTTTTTCGATTTTGAAAATGAGCTTTCTATGGCAACCTTTACAAAGAATGATACAAGACCAACAAAATAGATCATATTTCAACTTATTTGATCGCTCGCGCAGTGTTTTCAATCCAACTTCTCACCAAGATACCGATTCAAATCTTCATTCATTTGACAAATTATCTCAATATCCGCCAGGTTCTGCATTTAAAGTTAAAAACGATTCTAGAATATTGTCGTTAGTTGGAGTTTTAAAAGATGGAAATGTTTTATTATTCGATAATGATACTCAAACACTTGAATGGTATGAAAGAGAATGCATCGAAGAAATATGAGTATTGGGATAGTTTTTACTTGATTTCAAAATTATTGACAAATCTTTTTGTCTTGAAAATTCAAATGAAGATACATATTTGAAGTCATTGCTTTCAGTTCATATTTAGTATTAAGACAGGCATCAAATACTTAATATCTAACTTTGAAATTTCTTTTTGATTTCGATTTCATTATTCAATAATTATTTGTATTACAACATTAACTTATTGAACATCCAAAAGATTTATTTCTAGGTTTAAAGCCCAAGTTACAAATAAATTCAATTTTGAATTTATTTTCAAGTTTATTTGCTTCAAGAAGGAAAACATGTAAATTTGGCTAGCATAACCTTAAGTCATTACATAATAACATTATAAATACCTTGTTTCATTTCGAATTTTTAATTATCTTTTGTTTTCATATTATAAACATTGTGTAATGCAATATTTAGTCTTATTCTTCTAGTTTTCACCATCAATCTTTTAGTTTGATGATGCAATTTCTTCAATAAAACTTCGGAAAAGATTGAAATCTACCAAAAAGAGTATACTCTGTCAGATACATCTATTGAAACAGAATTTGCATTATTTGGAACACTTTTTTTTTCTAAGTTATGTCACTTTTCAGAAATGGAAGGTGAAGAATTTTCTCAGGAACAAATCATTCCATTAGAATATGGACCACTTGCACTCCCATTTGAAACATTACAGATTACATTTCCTCAGTTAGTTGAAAAAACTCAAAGGGAAATCAATGAAAAATTCGAAAAAATGCTTCATATGCCAGATCAACGACTTCAAATATCAAGTTTCAATCTTGAACAAGAAATACCTTTTGACTTGGAAGAAGATTATCAAATATTTACTCACATAATGAATTCGGATGAATCTTTTGACGATTTTATGAAAAGATCATTAAATATATTCAAGCCTATACGCAGTAAAAAGTCAATCCTTGATAGAATTGAATACATTAAAAGCAGTGATAATACAGAATTACTTAATAATTACACTAATCAACTTGTTCTCGAGAAGATCTTTTACTTATCAGCCACAACAGACGGCAAACAAATTTATGACTTGAACAAGGCCAGGTTGCAGCAATCAGACTTAGATCAGTGCAGATGCGCTGTTGATATTACTCCAAGAGGTCCAGTTTCACAAGAAGCTTCTGGAATAATCGAACAATACCATCCTCATATTGGATTATTGGGCCAGCCTAAGTTTGGTCCAACAGATCTTGCAATGTTACGTGGAGAAGATATTTATTTCTTAATTCGAAACGCTGCCGTTGTTTTAGGAAGAGGAACAGAAAAGGAACCAGTAGATATTGATTTAATGTATGGAATGGACCGCAGATGCACACATATTTCAAGATATCAAGCAATTATTTCTCTTTTACCAGATTTCTGTTTTTATATAGAAAATATTGGACAGAGAGCGTTCAGAGTTAATGGAGTAATAATTCCTCCATCAGCTGTCGCAAGATTACCAGAAGGAGCATTATTAGATTTCAGCGGAGCTCTTTATATATTTATTCCTAATAATGAGCTTATTGCTAAGCTTAAAAATTAATATTTGAGTTATACGAGTTGTTATAATTATAAAAATTTATAATTTTTGAAAATTATTATTTTTTTTTTTTGAGCTTAAAACAAAAATGAGATTCTCTTATCTTCTTAAGGATAATAATGTTCACTTGCAAATGTTAAAGACGGAAAAAATCTCATTGATAATTAAGATAATAATAATAAAATTTTTTAAAGGCTTTTAATTATATTGCAAGATCTTTATACCACCCATTTCAGCATTTCTAATGTATTCTGTAAGCCAGTCAAGATGTCTATCGAGCTCTGTGTAGATTGCGGATTGATCTTTGAATACTCTACTGTTGGAAACACGATTTGGTACAAGCTTCAAGAGACCATAAAGGAGTATTATTGGCGTATTTTGAGTTGTGTATCCCATATGTCTTTGAATAAGCTGGTACGATGGGGAGTTTTTAATTCCGTGGTTCTCGTGTTGGTTAACTAGTTCTTCAACAGCTCTTCGGTCATACTTACGTGTGTCCCTCGGTACTACTCGCTTTATGAACTTGTTGAGCTCTGTTGGTAGACGGTCGCTAACATCGTGACATGCTTTAAATGTTTTGATTGCCAACTTCTGCTTTGCCTCAAAGGATGGTGACTCATTATACTTTGCAATGAGTTGCTGGATGTTATCCTCGAATCTTTGCTGCATTTGAAAATGAACTGATAAAATTCAAACTATTCAAAATTCTTACTCCTAAATTTTTTTAAAATTTAAATGGGGGTAAATTTTTTTTCTGTTATGCATATATATAAGAAATCATTATATGAATCATATGCATATATATAAGAAATCATTATAAGAAATTATACGTTTTGCATTATTTTCAGAACCCAAATCAAATTTTCAAAGAATATACACCTCTTCCACAATTTTTTCAATGCACAATAACAAAACTCACTTTCAGCCGTATATTTAGAAATAAATATGCTTATTCCCCTTAAAGAGAGATTTCAAAACAATCAAACTCATTTCTAATCGAATTATATGTATTTTAAATTTAATAAAATCTTCCCTCATATCATCGACTTGATTCGATACCGAATTCGGGTTCAAGACGTCAATATAATCATTAATATCTAACCAAAATAATTTATCATTAATTTCTTAATTTCACCATTTCAACAAAAACCATCTTACAAATGAACATCATAGAGTTTGTATAGTTTTATTTCAGACACATCTCTGTCTAAAATGATTTCGTCCCATATTTTTGTCTGTCACGATATAAGGCATTGAAAGAGAGTGAGTTATGTTATCTCCTGTTGAATATAATACTTTATAAAATTCAGATCATTTTGTGACCATTTTAAGGGTGCACCCGTATGTACGTTTATTTGAGAGGAGGAGGATTACCCTCTCAATTTTGAGGGATTCGTTAGTTTATTTTCTCGATGAATATGCAATAAAATTTGATTTTTACCTTATCAATATACTTCATATAATATACACATGTTCATGTAAAAACTTTTTTCCCAAAATCCTCAGGAATTAAGGGATTTTTGAATTTTAAGAAATTTTTTTCGAATTTTTTCGAAAAAAAAATATTTTCAGAACAGCCTTAACGGCTAAGATTTAGGAACAATGTTAAGTATCAAAAAGAAAGGAGGTCTGATATAGACAACATATATCGTTGAAGGTTGAAAAAATCTCTAATATTTGAGCCCAAAATTTCATATTTTAATTTTTTGAAAAAAGAGGCCACCCGTATGTACGTTTATTTGAGAGGAGGATTATATTTTTGAAAGGGTGAAACATTATGAATATGTTAATTATATAATAATATGTATTATTATAAAAAAGAAAAAATAAAGCACGTTAAATTTTTTCTTTCTTGATTTTTTACAAAATCTACTTAGAATTATGCAAAATATGACTAAATAATTATAAATTTCAAGTTAAATTTTAATTTTGATAAATAATTTAAATTTCAAAATATCAAGTTCAGTTCGACTATGTATGTAGTAATTCCTCAATAAAGTGCCAAAACCCTATTAAAATATATGAACATTTTCAACATTTTAATGTTTTTATTTAAAAATTTGTTGGAATATGAGCTTCAAACAATTATTATGTAAATAAAAATAATTAAATATATGTATTTATTCGTATTACAACCGTAGTAAGTCGATTCTTCCTTTCTTCTACTGAGTTTTGAATTTGATTTCGAATTGTAAAGAGATTCAAAGGGAAAATACTAGCGGATAAAAACTACCTCCATGAAAGGGTCATAATGGAGTCAAGTTGTATTTTTTGATATTTTTTGCTTTTCGAGCCGAAATAGGTAGCCAAGATAATGCCTAAAAATAAGGTTCTAAATTCTGAAGTTTACATGATCCTCTCGTGTGCACCCTTAAGAATTTGAAATGAAATGAGTTCAATTTTTCATAAAACCGATAATGGTCAAAACCTTGATAAAAAAGGAGGCAGAGATTAGTCGATCTATTCGACCAATTTAATTTTAAAAAAATTAGAAGCATCCACCGATTTTTTTTAATTCTCTTCGTAAAAAATGACAGGATTTAATTATATTTTAGAAACCATATACAAGATAAATTTAATGTGAAATCAAAATTCAACAAATTGTGTCAAATTTTGTTCACTTTTATATCTATATTTCTGAATGCATAAATCGTTTGAAATCAAAGCCTCATGGTGCCGTAAAGAAGGCGGTATGATTAAAACAGTAAAGAAGCGCTGGTTTATTTTATTTGAAGACTCCCTTAAATACTTTGCCGACGAAGATCAGGAACAAGAAAAGGGACAGATTCCATTTTCTGTAGAAAGTACCGTTGATATTGATACAACATATAAAATCCAACCATGCTTCTTCATCAACTGCCCAGAGCGTAAAAGAGTTTATCGCATTTTCCCCGAAACAGAAGTCGATAGAGACGAATGGGTAGCTATGATTAGCAATCTCATCAATCTAAAGAGGACTTCCGGAAATCCGAAATATATTACTCGTTTCCCAAGATTTTTCACTTTCTTCATTACCCCTTCAGAATTATTATGGAAGATCAGAAAGGAAGACATCCCAGAAATTTCCGTGATGCTCCAAGACATCGTAAATAAAAATGCGATGTCAATCAATCAACTTGGCCGTATGGTTGCTTACATCTGCCAGAATCGTCTTACAAAGCTCAGATTATATGCAGATTTAATGGGCGAATTCCTTTCAACACAGAAAAATGTTGATGGCGCAGCAATTCTCAAAGATTGTCCCCATCTTGTTGCCCTTCTTATCAAGAGGAGAAAGATAAGTGGCAAACAATTAGAAGGATTCGAGAGCAAGTCCGAAGATCAGATCTGTGATATCTTTGACCAAGGTTCCTTGATGAATGCGATCTTTTATGACAATTTACAGGCCTTCCAAATCTACGCTGACAAGAAAGAATTTGATACTAACCAAGAAGTCGACGGAAAACCACTCATTAATATCGCTGCTCACTACGGTGCTTACAAAGTTTTCAGATTTCTCTTCAAGACAGTTCGTGTTGACGAAGTTACCCTCAAAGAAGCCGCTTTTGGCGGAAACAAGGAAATCTACAAGCTCTGCAAGCAAAAAATTACAACACCACGCGAAGTCATCGACGCAGCTATTTCAAATCACCAAACAGAAATGGTTTCTTACCTCTACAGCGAAGAAGAACTCGATTACACCTACATTTCTTGCCTCAGATCCAGTAATTTCCGAGCATTCTTCGACAGATTCTTCAAGAACGCAGATCCAAACTGGAAAGACCCAGAAGAGTGCACACCTATGATGGGCGCTGCCTCAGCTGGCTTCCAATCCTTACTTTTACTCATCAGCGAATGCGAAGGATCAATCGACTCCCAAGGCAGGGACGGCTACACACCATTATGCTTTGCAGCCCAATACGATCAGATTGACTGCGGCAACTACCTCATCAACAACCACACAAACCTCGAATCTAATACAGCAAGAGACGGAACTCCTCTTGTCATTGCAGCGAAGAACTGCGCGTGGCGATTCCTCAAACTGCTGATCGAGGGCAAGTCCAATGTCAATGCCACCGACTCACTCGGAAACAGTGCATTGATGTACGCGATCAAAAACAACAATGAAGAGATCACACAGTTGTTACTCGAGAGCAAAGCGAATCCAAACAACTTGAACAAGAACAGAGATACACCTATCTTCTACGCAGTCGATTCTTGCAACGTAAACATCGTAAGAATGCTCCTCGAAAGAAGAGCAACAGTAGACCTCAAAAATGAAAAAGGTGACACACCCATACATCGCGCCTGTAAACGCAATAACATCATTATTGTTGATTACTTGATCAGGTGCGGCGCTAAGCTTGAAGAGCTCGACCACCACAACAACACACCTCTCATGATTGCTATGGATAACAGCAATTTGGATGTAATGAGATTATTAATCCAAAGAGGTGCAAACGCGTCAAATTACGATAAAGACGGTTCGACACCTTTAATGTTTTGTGCGAAGAACAACAAATTGGATGCAGCCAAAGTCATCTGCGAGTGTGGTGTCAATCCAGAAGTCATGGATTACGAAGGAAAGACTGCTTTGATGTACGCATGTCTTTTCAACAACGTTGACATCATCAGATACTTGGCAAGCCGCAGATGCAACATCGAAGTTATCGACAAGTTCGGACGTACGCCTGTCATGCTTTCCCTCGCATCAAAGAACTTCGACGCAGCATACGCTCTTGCACAAGCTGGATGCAATCTCCACGCAAAGGATCTCGGTGGAGGATCAATTCTTTACTACGCCGCTTTTTACGGTGACACGAGAATGGCTAAGTTCTGCATTGATAACCAGAAAGGAGTTGAATTGGATATCAACATCGATAACCAGACACCTTTGATTCTTGCTGCAACACAACAGAACTCACAACTCGTTGATATATTGGTAGGAGCAGGAGCTTCCCCTGATGTTTTCAATCTCAGAGGAATAACTCCAATGTGCATCGCTGCAATTAACAACGATTTTGAGACAATCAAGAGCTTCGTGAAGAATAAAGTTCCAATAGATGGAAGAGACGCGAAATTAAACACTCCTTTGATGCACGCGTGCGCTTGCAATTGCATCGAAATCGCTAAGTATTTAGTTGATTGCGGTGCACAGATAGAAGCAAAGAATTCAATCGGAGCAACTCCTCTTTCTTTCGCTGTTGCTTCAAACGCAAAGGAAATTGTTTCTTTCTTGCTGTTTAAGAGAGCAAACGCTAATAACGTCGAAGGAAACGGAATTACTCCTTTGATGATCACTGTTATGAATAATAATCCTCAAATCGCAAAGTTGCTCATCGAGTTCGGTGCGGATATTACTAAGAAGAACAACGATGGAAATACGGCTTTGGATTTGTGTTACGTTCACCAATCTTCGGAAATTGAGAAAATGATCAAACAAAAGATGGAAAGAGGTTTCTAAAATATTTTTTTATCATCATATTAATGACAAAATGAGTTAATTATATTTTTTCAAAAAGTTTTTATTTGAAATTTGATTTTATCTCATGGGTATTCTTGGATTAAAGTAAAAAATTTGTTTAATATGAATAAGAAATGATAGTATCATAGAGTAAATGACATTATAAAAGTATATTTTGATTGATTTTTGATATCTTTTACCATTCTTTGAAATGAATTGATATCTTTTTAAAATAATTATTTGTTGGGAAATTTTTGTTGAGTAAAGTATTATTTCCAAGATTATTTTTTCAATTTTCTTTTTTTTCCCTTTTGTAGCCTGGTTAAACCAACTTAGAATAGACTTTAGCTAGTATTACAATATTATTAAAAGAATAAAGTAAGAAACAAATGATTTTTTTATTCTATAATTCTACGACTTTTCTCTTTTTAGGACCATAAAGTCTGTTAATGATACCTTCAAGTGTGGATGGCTGAACACCAGTGTATTTCTCAGGATGTGATGCGAAACCTGAATCAAACCATCTTGTATAAAATGTCTCAAATTTGGTGTGAGTTTTCTGAATTGCTTCGTTCATAATCGGCTCCATTAACTTAGTATTCTTCAAACAATAGTTATTTTGCTTCATTTGAATAGTTAAAACCGCATCTTTAAATTTCTTGAATTTTTGCTTTACAAGTTTCTTCTGATTAGTATTAAGCTTGTCTCCTTTCTTTAGTCCATCGAATGCTCTGTCGTAATCTAAAATTTGGAAAGCTTTGTTCCATGTTTCGTCAACAAATACTTTTTGTGCATCTTGCATTGTTTTCTCGAGTGTTTCTTTAAATGCAAGAGGTATAGTACTTGTTAACAAAGGACTTTGCTCAATTTGTGCCAAAATATAGTGAGAATTATTCATTAAAAATAATTGTCGTAAAACTATATCAGTATAACGCGTTGATTTCTCAATAATATTCTTAAACAAGGCTTCCAAAACTGATGGAATGTATAGTTCAAATGAAAGACCACCAACTTGTTCAATTCCTGCTTTGTATTGTCCCAAAACATTCAAGAAGATAATAACATTAGAGACATTTGCAATAACACTTCCGTTGGCCGGAACATTGTCAGGATCGTTCATTTCTACGGCGACTCTGTAATTTGATAAACATCTTTCAATACCTGCATGGAACATATGAGATAATTGGGCTAACTGGACAGCATATGTTTGAAAATCTTCATCGTTAACTTGAGAATCGAGGACATCTACAATTGTTGATACAATATCGACATCAAAAAGAACATCTACATGAGATTTGAGATCAGGATCAGAGACATTAACGCATGTTTTCTTGAAATGCTGGAAAAGTGGCTGAAAAGAGTTTTGGAAAGGACTTTTGTATTTATCGCCAAAAACTTTTTTGGCGAACTCCTTTTCTCTCTTGAAGAAAAAGGAAATAAGATATCCGAATGTATGAATGGGATGTTCTTTCTTTTTGTAAAGTGGCAAATCTAAAACGTTAATTTCTTCTGAAGAAACAGTTCTTTTGTTGGATGCATCGATAATTGGTTCAACACTTTCATCAATTGCTCTCATTCTTGCTTCTTCATAGTCACTTATGTGATCAACACACAAAATCATTTGAAGAACCGAAGCCATTTGATTCATCATTTGTAGAAGCTCTTCTTGTATCGGGTATATTGGATTTTCAAATCGTTTATCAGTCAAACTGAATTTGCCATCAACAAATTGAAAATTTGCCAAAGGAATTGGAGTTGCAGTTCGATTCGCGAGGTCAAGAAAGTAATTAAGAAGCTTCTTTTCTGAAGTACCAATAAGTGTACTTAATTCTATCCTTTCGTTATTTGCATCTTCAAAATCATAAATTTGTAGATATTGTTGAGCTTCAATCGCTTCATTAATAGCTTTCATGAACTCATCGAAATTCTTATTTACACTTAATTTCAAAACATCTTGCAATTTTTCCGAAGTTGTTAATTTGTTTTGAATTTCCACAATATTATCTCGTACGCTTACTATTTTATCATGTATTTCCTGCTCTTTGCTTATCTTTTTATATAATGAGGTTAAAGAATGCTCCTGTGATTTGAAATTCGAAGCAAACTTTTTAATTGTTGTATCTAAGCTAGAAAAATGAGATGATGCAGTTTCCATCGCCTTCTCCAAAGCTCGCAATTGGAATTCTGGATCTGATTTGGGCCCCTGCTCAGTTTCCAGCATAAAATAAATTTACAAAATTGAATTCCATCACAAAAAATTACATAAATTCAAACAATCTTTTGAATGAATAATTATTTTTGAGTCGGCACTGCATAAAATTATAAATCATTTTAAACAAACATTAGTTACCATTTATAAAAAAAAAAAAAAAAAAAAAAAAGGTATTGGGGCTTCCAGGCACTTCGTGCCCTCTAGCCCCGAAGATGTTTAGTATAAAACCGCTTTTTAACTTCACTTAAAATGCCACGTAAGCTACGTAAGAATATACGTAAGAGGAAGAGAGCATTGAAACATCCAATAGTAAGACTGACACCACAACAACAGTTGCAACAACAAATGCTGAATGACCCCACTATGTTGCAACAAATGTCAAGCAATCCTATGCTTTTAAACCGAGTTCTTGGTGCACAGAGTGGAGGTTTAAGAGCGGCACTTTTAGCGAAAATGGCAGGCTATGGTGGAGCTGCAGACGGAACAGCCTATAACCCTCAAAGTCAAATGAATTTGAGTTCACTCAAAAATCAAATAACAGATGTCAAAAAGTCAAACATAGACATACAGAAGCAAATAAGTGAAAACGAAAAGAAACTAGAATATGACAGACACACAAAGAAACTCAATGAGTTAAACGTAGAGAAAAAGAAGAAAGAAGAACAACTGAAAGAACTAAGTACAGAGGAATATGCGAAAAAAGTGTCAGAAAAAGCAGCAGAAGTAGCAAAAATGGAACAAGATGTCATAAATTTGAAAAACCATACTACTCAATATAAAATACTGAAAGATGAAGAGATAAAACAAAAAGCCCTGAAGACATATATGGATAGCGATGAGTATAAAAAAGAAGTTGAAGCAAATGTAAAGGCAGAAAAACTTTTACAGTTGCAAAACCAAACCGTACAGTATGAAAACTTAGCACAAGAAAGTAAAAATAACGACGCGGCTATGCAAAAGGCAATGAAAAGCGCAGAATATATAAAAGCCAACAATGACTGGTTAGATGCCCAAGCCAACGCTAAAGCAGCCCAACTCATAGGGTCAATAAGGACAAAAATACAAGCGGATGAAGACAGTTCAAATGAAGCTTTAACAAATGCTGACTTTAAGAACGCCTTCGAAGCTCTTCATAGTAAGGTGAAACAAGTGAACGACTTCTCATCTGGAAAGAAACTGAAGTCTGAAGGTTTCGACAAAGAGTTAAAAGAAGTAGCACAAAATATGACGAAAATAACAGATGCAGCAACGAGACAGGCAGTTCAAAGTGCCTATGACGCCGTTAGAGCAACTGTTGTGAAAAGTCAAGAAAAAGAGTTACAACAGACCAAAACAGACCTAGTAAATGCTTTCTTAAGAACGAAAAGTCAGGTAGGACATTACGCTGCAGATGGAACATATGTGCCAGCTGGTGGAACTTATATACCACCAAACCCTCCAAGAGAAGCACCTGCACCAGGACTACCTAAAACATTTACATCGTCACATGGACACAGACACAGGCATGCACCAAAACCAACAGTTCAAAATCCAGCACAACAACCAACACAACCACCTCCACAACAACCAACACAACAACCAACACAACAACCAACAGTTCAAAACCCTGCACAGCAACAACCACAAACAGAGCAAGGACATAAAAGAAGTAGAGAACAAGGAAACCAAGAATTCTTAAAAATGCTTAAAGAAGACTATGGTTACCCAGATACTATTGACTTTAGTGACAGATATAAAGAAGCTATTAGAAAGTTCAAGGATGGAAATACTGACCCGAACCTATTTAGCTTTATGGCTCTGCACCAAAGGGGATATAATCTCAAACCTGGAAAATACAAGCTCGCTAAGGGATATGATTTAATAGCATATCATCCAAATGACATGAACGAATTTACTCCGAGATATTTGATGTCAGAGCTAAATGACAATTTAACTCTCTTCATGAAACGCGTAAAAAATAGAGACGGAACGAAAGAAGAAAGGTTTATGAGTCCGGATGACTTAGAAAGGGAACTTTTTAAAAACGGTCTCGGAATATATGAAATGCCAGCAGATGAGGTACAAGAAACTCCACAGGAAGAACTAGTTCAGATACAACCAGACATGGAAGAAATAGTTCAGCAACAACAGCTAGAAGAGCCTGAAGGAAACGAACAAGTCACTCCTTTGGAAATTAACTTCACAGAACTAGATGAAGATTTGGAACAGCCGAAAAATCTTGACCCTCAACAAGAGTATGCGGAGAATATGGAATATTTCCAAGAGTCTAAGAAAAATTCGGCTGACATAGTAGAAGAATATCGAAAAATGTTCGCCGACATACAAAAGACTCCAACATCAGATGAAAATATTCAGCATAGAATGGAAGAACTGAAAGAAAATGTACACAAATACAACAACCCTTTTTACTTACGAGCATTTAACGTTCAATCTTCGGATGAACTCGGTGAAAATAAAAGGTTAAATTTCAAGAAAACATATAGAAATGAAACATTGTTTAAAGTTCATTCAGAACCTAACCAAGATGGAAACAAACCTACTTTTGTTTCTGCAGACGATGGAACTACAATGAGATGGGGTCATAAAGCTAATCCGGATAGGTGGTTCATAAACTTACAACCACAATTCCAAGAAGTTGTAGACGCAATGGAATTGAATGGTGAACGAGATATAGCTGGTATTTTAAGCGCGGCTTTAATGCCATTGAAAGATATGAAACATGCAGATATTTTGGACCAGTATGAAATGAACATGGCTGATGGAAATATAACACCTGACGTTCTAGAACATTTATCTCAAAGAACTACACAGAACCATAGAGATGGTATATTTGGTGAAGAGTTTAGAAAGAAAGTTAGGGAGGGAGAAGGAAGAGAACCTATTGTACATGACCTTGCAAACGAAAGTTTACAAAATGTCATAAAAACTTACTTTGCAGACAATGAACCGAGAAGGGATGAATATTTAAGAAAACTCAATTGGACAGTACCAAATGAAATGTTAGTATTGAAAAACATGTTCCTTGACAAAATAAAACCAACTACAGAAATAAACGACGCAAGACTGAAAGATTGGGTAAAAGCTTTCCCATTCACAAAAGATATAGTTGGTAACATGGAAAGAAAACCAGAATGGCTACAAAAACATATATTTGGAAACGAGCATATTCCATATGGACAGGCACTGTTTGAAGAGCTTGAACCGGAAACTCAGGAAAGAGTCATGCAAACAATACGCGACGACTCAAATACAGACTATGACAAACTCTTTCTAGGATATAGGTTACCTGAGATGGGCGACCAGAGCCCAAAGGCAAAAAGGACATGGGAAATTTACAACATACTAGGTGAACATGAGGCAAAGATGCAACAACTTGAAGCAGAGGGCAAGTTACCAAAAGCGACACCAAAGAAGAAGAGAAGAGTAGAACAAAGTGAAAGTAGTGAAGAACTAACTTCATCTAGTGAAAGTAGTGGCAATGAAGGAAAAAGAAGAGTTAAAAACTCAGTCAGGAAGAAAGTAAAGCTTGGTCCACGTGGGTTCTATTATGACATATAAATCCAACTATTCTATATTTTTACCCATATGAAATGTACGCCGCTCAGAATATAACGCCAACAGTTTTGGATGCCATGAATGGAAATGTTTCCGAATGGTATAACGAATGCGACAATGCCATTAGAAGGTCAGAAATAGTTCCTGGAACTTACGAATATACAACTGCTGTTTCTTATGGAAACGTAGGTGAGTTTGGAGAAGGTTCTTCAACAACAGTAGATATTGCTTGCGACAGGTTTCATATAATTTCTATTGACAACTCTTTCTTATACGTGGAACAAGACATTGAAATAAAACCTTCTGCCAAGTTGTCTGACAAGAAAGGTTGCAATGGAATTTTCTATGTCGGATACCAATATGCTCCAGAAGTTTTCATGGGATATAAGATATATTCTAACTCTGACTTAGTTCAAACAGTAACATGGGCAAACTATGAATGGTTCGCTTTGAGAAACTCAGTACAACCACAAGCTAGAGAACAAACAGACCAGTATGCAACTATTGAGAAAATAAGAAGACTTGACCCTAACGTTCCAGGAGTTTATGTTGACCTTTCTGGACAAACTGCAGCAGCAGTAACCAAAGTAAAATTGAAACTTAGAGTTCCTTTGTCATCTTTCCTCATCTTCAGGTTTTAAGATACTTGCCAAACTGGGCAGGAAAAATTTCTATCGAACTTACTCCAAGCAAAAATAACTTAGTCATTGCACCAACACAAGACCCATTCACTCTTACAGACGTAAAGGGAGCAAATCAAACGTCATTCGCCGACTTTTGCAAAGACAAAGTTGACTTAGACTTTGGTTTCTCAAACCTCAACACTGAAGTAAACTACTACTTCAATGCTGCTGGAACTGCTTGGGACCCAGTTAAGTTCACATGCGAAAAGTTTGAATGCAAGAGAATAGAAAGCAGACTTGCAGTCTATATGTTGGACCCAGATATTTCAAATGCTTTAGCTGCCAAATATATTGCAGTTCCACTTATGTTCCCTATACACCAAATATCTGTCAAAGACTTTGCAGGTGAAGTTGGAAACCAAAGTGCTGAACCAGGTGCAAGAACAGATATTGCTTTGACAACTGCAATGAAACATGCAGATACTATGTTTGTACTGTTCAGACGAACTATAAATGACTATTCTTGTTTCTACAACCCTGGTATTAAATATCATATAAACATAGATGGCAAATATTATCCAAGAGAAGAATATTCTACAGTTGAAGATATGAGGTCATACAACTTGACATTAGATGCTATGAACTTTAACAACAACTTCACAACAACCATTAACCCTGAAATGCAAAGTTCTATTATGCCATATGTGAAAGTATGGACTCATGCAGGAGCTCAAAACACTCAATATACAAATGGAGACCGTTCAAACTTTTGGCTTGGCATTCCATTTGCTGACTCAGAAGACTTTATGGGTGGTATTTCAACTGTTGGTA